GAGTAGCAAGTATAACAAAACTGTTAGATTTGTCTATTTTATTGAATGGGCTAGCGGTATGAAAGGGCCTTTGGGATCTTTCCATTATGTGTCTCACCCATTGTAGTTGTACGTTATTCATTTATTTCGTTGCTATTATTCGAATGAAATAATACATTATTTTACATAAAAAATATGTGAGCCAGAAGAGTTTTCACGACTAAAGATCCACAATTTTATTTCAGTAAATTATTGTATACATTTCCCTATCCACATTAATTATTTTCGTATTTATTGTGTATTTTTTGTTACGTTGACAAATCTATTTTAGTCTTTGTTTTTTTGTTAAATGTTAACATCCTTGAATTGGATGAATTTCAACCTTGTGACCTCCTCATTGGGAATGTAACATACTTGTAATAACTTTATTATATCTTAACCTGAAAATTACAAGAAATTTCACATACTTGTAATAACTTTATTATATATTAATCTACCACATTAAAATAAAAATCTATACTAATTAGAATGATAAATTTAGTTTTTGTTGTATATTTACTTAACTACAATCGGCCAATCGGGGATCGCACTTAAGATGACACTTCCATCCGGCTTTGAAAGGGCCTCGCGTGCAAGATTATGGGAAGCCTTATTCGGGATCTCATGCAATGCCTGATCTCACAATTAATGTGGTTAATAAGACTATATCTTATACTTCCTCTATCCCTCAAAACTTTGCTAAGTTTGACCTACACGTGAAGTAATAAAGTAAAAATTATAAGAGTGAGATTTGTGCAGAGCAGATCTCAATAACAGGAACCACATATTTATTAATTAAAAGGGAAAGTAGTGAGTTGTTGAGACAACCGAAAAAAGAAAAGATAACAAAGTTATATGGGACAAATAGAGTATCTTCTATTATATGTAGTAGTATCTAAGTAAGATTCTCCATCCGCATTCGTTATTCTTGACAATATTGTAAGTGAATCTGTCTCCAAAATTATCTTTGACAGTCCTTGTTCTTTTATCGAAGCTAATACTTCTCATACACAATAGTTTCCAACATGTCTGTTGTCCACTTTGTCGTTATAGTATGACTCCCAATGCTACAATGTGCACGGGTGCACATGTGGCATGAAAAATAGCCACATAAATATTGATAAATAAATCATCCGTCTCCTTATTTGAATGATTTCATATAATTTCGGTAAAATTTTATTAACATTGTCAACCACAATGTCTATATATCTAGACGACCTCATTGACATTGCAGAGAAAAATATAACAAAATGGTATAAAACCATTTAAATAAGGAGATAGATAATTTATTTACTTGTATTTATGTGACTATCTCACATTCCACATGTGCACCGTGCACATTGTAGCATTGGAGATGCTCTAATAAAGTATGTAGTATGAGTGTATGATGATACAACAACAACAACAACATCCAAGCCTTAGTCCCAAACGTAATGGGGTCGGCTAACATGAATCGATATAAGATATCACATTATCACCAAAAGGAAAAGAAAGAAAATAAAGATAAAAAAGATAAGCTATTATAAAAAAAAGATAATATAAAAGAGATGAATATACATATAAAAGATCAAATAAAAAAGGATAAAGTAATATTTATATATAAGGATAAAGATATAAAAGAAAAAGAAAAAGAAGAAGAAGAAGAAGAAGAAAAAAAGATGATACAAGATCACTCCTCAACACGAATACCCGCCCTCCATTTTGCTCTCTCCAAAGCCATACCCTCATCCAATCCACGAAGAAGCATATCACTTCTGACTCCCCTAACCCACGTCTGTTTGGGCCTTCCTCTCCCTCTCTTCCCTATCTCTTCTCCACACATCTCAACTCGTCTGACAGGTGCATCACTCGGTCTTCTATGCACATGACCAAACCACCGCTACTCCCACCCTTTGTCTAATTGTCTCATTCCTCACGCGGTCCTTTCTAGTATGCCCACACATCCAACGCAGCATGCGCATCTCTGCCACACTCATCTTTTGAATGTGACATTGTTTCACCGCCCAACACTCCGTGCCATACAGTAATGCCGACCTAATTGCTGTCCTATAAAATTTACCCTTCAGTCTAGTCGGCATACCTCGATCGCATAGAAATCCTGACGCACTCTTCCACTTCATCCACCCTGTTCTGATTCTATGGGATACATCTCCATCTAACTCACCGTCCTTCTGAATTATGGAGCCCAAATAACGGAACATATCGCTGACTGGTATCTCCTTACCATCTAAAGTAATTCCGCTATTACCACTGCTTCTACCTCCACCAAACTTGCACTCCATGTACTCTGTCTTGCTCCTACTTAGTCTGAAACCCTTGTTCTCCAATGTCTGTCGCCATACTTCCAACTTTGCTTTAACCCCTGATTGCGTCTCATCAATCAATACAATATCGTCGGCAAACATCATGCACCACGGTATATCGTCTTGAATTGACTTTGTAAGTTCATCCATGACTATGGCAAATAAAAAAGGGCTAAGAGCCGATCCTTGGTGCACTCCGATAGTAATAGGGAACTCCGCAGTCCTCCCTACACTAGTACGGACACTTGTAGTACAATCCTCATACATATCCATGATGATGCTGATATACTTGCGTGAAATGCCTTTTCTAGTTAAGGCCCACCAAAGAACTTCTCGAGGTACCCTATCATATGCCTTTTCTAGGTCAATGAACACTAAATGCAAATCCTTGCAAGCGTCTCTATACTTCTCCATAAGTGGCCGAAGAAGGTGAATAGCCTCAGTTGTTGAGCGACCAGGCATAAAACCAAATTGATTCTCTGAGATCTTCACCGTTCTTCGAAGTCTTTGCTCAATCAATCGCTCCCAAAGTTTCATGGTATGACTCATAAGCTTAATCCCCCGATAGTTGGCACATTCTTGTACATCACCTTTATTCTTAAATAAGGGAATAAGAATACTCTTTCTCCAACTCGTTGGCATCTTGTTGTTTCTCCAAATTTTGTTGAAGAAATTTGTTAACCACCCGATGCCTCTCTCTCCCAAACTTCTCCAAGCCTCGATCGGTATGCCATCTGGACCCACTGCTTTCTTCCGCCCCATCTTCCTCAAAGCCTCTTTAACTTCCGTTGGTTGGATCCTTCTCACAAAATCACGATTTACCATACAATCTGGTATGGTCATATCATGATCTCTTTAAAAAATACGGAGTAGTCCTTATACGTAGTAATAAATGAAGTGAACAGTTTGATTTTCAGTAGCTTACAAACTTAGTGGTGTTTGGATCTGATTCTTAAAACCGCTTCATCTCTTTCAGAGAGCAAAAGCAGAAGTAAGAGTGTTTGAGTGAAAGTGCATAAGTGATTTTGGTGCTCTAATTTACTCCTAGAATCGGCAAATTATACCGTGGGATCGGCATACCATGCTCATGGTACACCGATCCCAATACAGTGACGTTTTTCTTTGATCACCACGGTCTCACGGTCTCTTACTCCCCCAACCCACCATCTTTCTTTCGTTCTTTTTGTTTTTTTGTTTTTACTTTTCATCAAAACCTAACAATCATTGAGTCCACTATTTTCAAATGGTTTTTTTTCTAATTCATGACCAGTGAAACGTATTAAGAGTATTATAATTTCCTGATCCAATTTTTATCATTTCAAAATAAATTAATTACTTTTTTTCTATCTTAGTCATTAGTCATACACTTCTTTCTATTTCCTTTCTTCAAATGAAATTACAATAAAATTTATTTTTTATGTGATGTGTTTTTGTATTTATACATTTCTTTCATAATATATTTTTCATATTCATACACTTTTTTTCTATAATATATTTCTTATCTCTTTTATATGTTGTTAGTTTTTTAAAACATTAAATTTGTTTATTTTGATTTAAATTAGATAAAATATGAAATTAGATCTTCATATGTGTGGTTTATATGTTCATAAATTATCTTTTGGCAATTATAATTAATTGAGCAATTATACTTCTTGTTTTCATTATTTATATTTAAATAATTTGATCATATATGGAATTACATCTCCACATGCACGAGTTACACATTTTTATGTGTGGGTTACATATTTCTATATACGAGTTATATTTTCCATAATACGAGTTACATCACAAAATAAACTCCTGGTATTGAAACAAAAAGTCAATTTTTTACAAACAAAAAGGATTTTGTTTGCAAAAAATGATTTTTTGACAAAAGAAATTATTTTCACTTAAAACAGTTTTTATGACCTTAATACTAAAAACAAAACATATAAGTTGTTTACTTTAATTAATTGAGCAATTAGACTCCTTATTTTCATTGTTTACATGTGATAATATATGAAGTTACATCTTCTTATGCGTGAGTTACATCTTTTTTACGCGTGAGTTACATCTTTCTATACGTGAGTTATATTTGGATTGCATTAACAAATTACATTTTGCATATATCTAACTTAAAATTTTCATCAACGCAATTTACATTTTTCATAGCATGTGTTACATCACAAAACAAACCCTGCAAAGAAAATTTCTTTTTTTTTTGCAAAAAAAGAAGATATTTTTGGTAAAACAATCACTTTTTTGTAAGAAATGATTTTTAGCAAAAAAATAATTTTTAAACAACATTTTTATGGTCTTAATATTGAAAACAAAACATATTCACTATTTAGGTAAAGTAATTGAGCAATTACACTCATTATTTTCATTGAAATCAATATTTTATTTCTTATTATTCGTATTAGACAAGTTACATTTCGACATGCCTACAGTTACATTTTTTTATCTGCGTGAGTTACATTTTTTATACGCGAGTTACATCATTTTGTTCCTGGACAATGGAAAAACAAAAAAAAATTAATGTTCATGTGCATGAACAGTAACACGCGAATTTTTAAGGTTGTTCCCACAGTATAACAACTGCCTAGAATCAGTTTTTTAAGAAACTTGGGACCAACTTCTTAAAATTGATTCTGATTCTGCTTGTATTTAAAAAACAAATTTAGAAATGACTTCCAAACACACCATTACAAATCAGATTTGAGGTGTGAAGCAAGCGTGAAATCAGAGTCTCAAGAAGAAGAAGAAGATGAGTAGCACTGCACAAACTCCCCATTCACTGGCCTTCCGAGTAATGAGACTCTGCAGGCCATCTCTTCACGTTGAAATCCCACTTCGTTTCGATCCCTGCGATCTGCTCTTCGGCGAAGACTTGTTCGACGACTCCATTGCCGCCGATAACCTCCCTCGTCTCCTCTCCGGCTGCGAATCGGTCACCTCCGGAGACAATGTGGCTGACCCATCAGATCTCTCATACCGCTCCAGATTCCTTCTCGAACAGTCATCGGACTCCCTCGGCCTCCCAGGCCTCCTCGTCCTTCCGCAATCATTCGGGTTACCTTTCCATCATATATTTTGCAGCGCCTTATTATTCCGATCTACCGATTATATTTCGATTGTCTTGAGAAATTGGGATATTTTGCAGGGCAATATATCTGGGAGAGACGTTCTGCAGTTATATAAGTATAAACAACAGTTCAAATTTCGAAGCTAGGGATGTTGTAATCAAGGTGATTAGATGATTGATAGATGAGTCTTTTCTTTACAATGATGAGCTATTGTAGCTACTGTCCACTAAGCATTTAATAAATGCAATTCTATCTACGCAACATGAGCAAAAAACTTTAGTTTTGAATGCTATTCAACTTCTCAACATGAATGAAGTTAATTCCTACTTCTGGTGTCGAGGGAAGTACAGTTAGCTGGTTTGTGAGACATTAGGCCATTTCACCGCTAGCTCATTGTGTAGAAGTGTAGCAAGTGCATTTTGGGAGATAATCACATACTCCCACATATTCAAATTTGTAAATATAAAATCCCTATCCTCCACATGCTCTAGATAAAACAGAACCACTTCACAAATAACTTATTGTGCAGAGCGGTAGTTAGCACTTTGTGCTAGAGAATTATGTAGCATCATCTATCCAAATCTATAAATACAAGAACCCTACCTTCAACATCTTGTATACATATTAGGACACAAGTAGCAATAAAACAATAGGACTACGACAGACTTAGTAGCATGGTGCCATGGTAGCACCCTCCTCAGGTGCTACCTCCGATGATGCTCGACGATGGTTGCCATCGCTTGGAGCTGCTGTTAGTGGCGATGAGTGCTAGTGTGCTACTGTTCAATGCCATCAGTCCATCACCAATGGCATGCTACTGTAGTAATGTGCGCAGCATAACTGCCAAGTGCAGGTGCTTCTATCACGCACCACCGCCTCTGCAAGAGCACAGTAGATTTCACGCCCTTGATTACAAAATTTTACTTTTAGATGTCTAATTTGTAATTTAGTGGAGCTATAAGCTACTTGTAAAACAAAATTTGGGTACAGTTTTTGCAGTTCTTTCTTGTCCCTTAGGTTATTAAGTCAGTAGAGTGAGAAAGTGCATACATAGAATATGATATGGCCGGAAATAGTTCATGCTTTGAGATGCTTACTCAATAAGTTTAAGTTATAACTGTATATGACTATGTACGACTTATCTAAGGATACATCATAGATACAGCTATACCTCGAGGTCCTTATAAAAATTTGAAATTGATTTGGCTTTATGCACTCAGAACCAGAAAACCCAACCGAACCTGTACAGTGGTTCAGTTCATGAATGTAAATAATGTTCCCTCAAGAATTGAACTAAACCTGAACTGCTGGTTCGGTGCTAGTTCCTTGTGTACAAAACACAAAAACCTGAATAGAACCTACAATAACAACACCAACATCCAAGCCTTAATCCCAAAAGAGTTTGGGATTGGCTAACATGAATCTACTTATGATATCGCCATATCGGAGGTAAAAACACAAAAAGGAGAAAAAAGAAGATAAATAAAAGGGATATTACCCGAAATAGGACTAAGAATGTTTGAAAATTTCAAAATAGGACTGTCATGTTTTTATTCCCAAAATAAGATTAATTACTGCCATATTTTGGCAATACCAGACTTCAAACATGGCAGTATTTTCCAAACTTGGCAATAATTGCTCCTATTTTGGGAATAAAAAATATGACAGTCCTATTTTGGAATTTTCAAACTGTTTTAGTCCTATTTCAGGAATTTTCCCTAAAAAAAATCAGACCAATCCTCCACTTCGCTCTCTATAAAGTTATACTCTCATCTAATTCAAGAAGTACAATATCATTCTTGACCACTCTAATCAATGTTTGTCTAGGTCTTCCCACCCCCCGCATCCTTGCCTCCTCTTCCCACCTCTCAATTCGTCAGTTGTGCCACTCATTCTTCTACACACATGGCCAAACCACCAGAGTAGTACTTCATTTAAAGCTTTTGACCATAACCTTTTCGATCCCTGATTGCTTTTTCAAATTCTATTTTTTCGGTTCCTAATAGTTTTATTCTCATTTTGGGTTCTCAAGGAACCCATGAAACCGAATTTATCGTTACCGATTCAGTTTTATTGGGAAAAAGTAGCAAAACTGGATCAATTGTAACATGCGGTTCTTATTCATAATTTAAACCCATTACTGAGAAAATGTAATCCATGATTCATAGTTGTCAATGGCGAGATATGGCGCGTGCCATCACCATGAAAAAGTGGTCATTGCCATAGCGCCATATGCGCCATCGCCATACGCCATGAAAAATGCCTTTGTGCCATGGTGATCGCCATGCGCCATGTCAAGTTTGCCATGTTTTAAGAAAATATAACCCAGACCAGGACTCACTAGGCCTATAATTTGCCATGTTGCATGGTGATGGCTATAATACTACCTCCGTCCCTTAAAACTTTGCCAAGTTTGACCGGCACGGAGATTAATAAAGTAAAAACTGTGTGGTTGAGATTTGTACAGAGGAGAGAGAATTAGTTGGAACCACAAATTCCTTACTTAAAATGGAAAGTGGCAAAGTTAGTGGGACATCCAAAAATGGAAAGTTGGCAAAGTTTTAAGGGACGGAGGGAGTACATCTTTAGTAGTTCAACAGGAATCCACATCATTTAAGTTGAATTGAGATGTCATTACTGAGATGTTTTTATATTGTAAGCAACTATTATCAGTAACTGGAAGCAAAGTGCAATCTTTAGATGGCTTATGAAAGAGCAGATGAGTTTTTCTTTAGTGATAATTGATAATTATATATTGAGAAACAATTATTGATACTCTTATTTTACATTTTTTATTACTCCCTCCGTCCCATTTTGGTTGTCCTACTTTCCTTTTTGAGTTGTCCCAAAATGAATGTCATGTTTCCATTTTGGGAAAACTGTCAAATAGGTCCCCGAATTTTCATAAAAAGGTCAATTAAGTCCTTCTATAGGAGGTTCTGTCCGGCCGTCGCGATTTGGGGCAGTTCCTGGTGGAATTTTTTGATGAAATTTTTTGAACATCTTATTTACCAAGTCTAGTTTACTCATACCAAATTTCAGCTAAAAATTCAACCGGGAACACATTCAAATTAATTCTTGAAGATAACTGCGCATTTTTGCGTTCTCGAATTAATTTGAATGCGCTCACGATTAAATTTTTAGCTGAAATTTGGTATGAGTAAACTAGACTTGATGAATAAGATGCTCAAAAAATTTCATCAAGAATTCCACCGGGAACCGTCCCAAATCGTGAAGACCGGACAGAGTCTCCTATAGAAGGACTTAATTGACTTTTTTATGAAAGTTCGAGGACCTATTTGACACTTTCCCATTCCATTTTTGCCAAGAAATATGTGGTCCTTATCATTTCACTTTATTTTACTCAAATTTCAACCACAACTTTTACTTTTCAACTACTTTACTAATAATCATACCAAATTGAAAGTGGACAACCAATATGGGACGGAGGTAGTACTATATATATTTATTTCTATATTATATTATTATTAGTATTATCTAAATTTTGTAATCTTTTATGTACGTTTTGCTACATTTGTTGCCTTGTAATAAACAAAAATAAAGCCCCGTGTCTTTAGATTAACATGTGATGATTCGATACAGGCAGAAATCCAAACAGAAAGGCAGCGGATACTTCTTTTAGATACATCGAAATCTCCTGTCGAGTCCATACGAGCAGGGGGGCGATATGATTTCATTGTAGAACATGATGTGAAAGAACTTGGTGCACATACGTATGCTAGTGATATTGTTTTATATCGTTGTTTTCTGTTAGTATATGCTGTCTGCAGAGTTATAATTTCTTTTTAAACAGTTACTTGGATTTGTAGATTGGTATGCACTGCTCAATATAATGATGGTGATGCTGAGCGTAAATATCTACCACAGTTTTTCAAATTCATAGTCACAAATCCCCTTTCTGTTAGAACAAAGGTGCTGTCTAGAATGCTTCTAATCTTCAATAACACTATAATTAACTCATAGTATACACACATGTATGCACATGTATGTACATATACATAGTTACCTACATACACTTGTACACACACACTACTACGAGTGGGTTCGGTTTGGCACGCTCTGTATGCATATTTCTTTACAATATATTGTTGTCCGTGTTCATATTGTAATGGATATTTGTTTCTATTGTGTAGGTTCGCATTGTTAAGGTAAGTTTTTTTATATTTGTCAACTCAAAAGTTCATCTTCCTTCCAGAACTATCTTGTTTATTAATACGGAGTACATTCAACCTATTTATTTACCCAACCATTCATGACATTTAATTTGTTTTTCACAGGACACTACATTTTTAGAGGCTTGTATAGAGAACAATACGAAGTCTAATCTCTATATGGACCAAGTTGACTTTGAACCTGTTCAAAATTGGGTCACTACAGTACTAAGACCTGATGATAATCAATTGGAGAAAAATCCATTGGTGAGGTAGTGGCTTGATGTTTTCTTATCTTTAGCTGCACCCATTGGTCCTTCAGTTATAAGCAGGGGAGAACCCACAAAGTGCATATTGGGGTTGGGGAAAAAGTGGCAAGTTTATTTTTGTGGGGCCAAAGCTTCATATTTCAACGTTTACCTGTATTTATTATTAATATTTGTACATATATACACTGCAAAAAAGGGAGCCATGGCTCTTCTTAGTCCCCCCAGATCCACCTCTGGTTAAAGTATGGTCATGTTTTCAGCTGTTGTCATGGTTCTTTATATTCCTGCTCTATGAAATAACCTATTTAAATCTTCCAGAGAGTTATTTAAGCCTCCAGTTATCATAAGATCCGGGGGAGGTGTTCATAATTTTCTCTACCAATTGAGGTTATTACCAGAAGGGTCTCAATTACCGAAAGTTGAGGGAAGCAATATCCTGGGAAAACTTCAGATTACATGGCGCACAAATTTGGGTGAACCAGGGCGTCTCCAGACACAACATATTCTTGGTAATGTAAGTGAGGTTGAATCTTCATTTCTATGGTATACCTGATGGCTTATTGTAAAAAGGCCGATTCATATTTTAACCAGGTCATTGTGCACTCATGTCCCCAAAAAACGAGTCCTGCTTAAAAACTGTAAAACTATTTTTGTTCAAAAAAGAGTCTAGTTTTACGTCATCTTTTACTTTTTTCTAAAGTTCTTTTATAGTGAAATGGAAATACAAAAGCCTACTACTCAGAAACTTGCTATTCTGCAATGATTTGGCAGTGGAATCAGCTTCCACCTTCCTGCATTTCTTCCCAGCCCCTGGTTTACTTAATAATGATTTTCCTGGTTTACTTCATTGTGATTTGATGATTTTCACTTTGAGTCATCCAGAAACAGTCTCTTTATGCTTTAGTATAGGGGTAAGACTGCGTACATCTGACCCTCCCTTACCCCACCATAGGTGGGAGCCTTTGTGGGACTGGGGTAATGATGATGATGATGACTTCATTGTGATTTGAGTTGTAGGGTTTTCTCTTCTTTGTTCCCAGCCTGGTTTAGTACGAAAGATTTGGATACATCCACACTAGACACTACACTCATTGCTTATTTTCAATTTATTGTTTCCTGCTACATCTTTCTTTTTGCAGCCTATTGTTCTCCAAGACATAGAGTTGGCAGTAGTGGAGGTCCCACCTGTCATCATCTTTGAAAAACCTTTCTTGGTAAGAGTTTTTATTTGCCAATCAGGTCTAGGTGTGTCCGTGTGGGCCATATAGCACATTACCCATCAAGTTTCATTAACATTTTAAGTTGATTCCTTCAATTGGTCTAGGCATCTACCTTCACGCCTACATAAAATGTCTTTATTTGTAATTATGTAGGTACGCTTCAATCTCACAAATCAGACAGACAGGATATTGGGCCCTTTTGAAGTTTGGTTGTCACAAAGTGATTCACTTGGTGAAACATCTGTGATGGTCAATGGTCCTCAAACAATGGTAAGGGTTACCATGACTTTAGTTCATCTTGTTTGGCTTTATCTTTGCTGTTCAGTAAATTGCAATGGATTGTTACTGAAGTTCTGGATTTATACGTCAATAAGATTTTTCTACCAATTTTTTTCGATCATTGCATTATTATCCAAGTGCGGAACACTAAAATTCCATTTCATTATGTTTTATTTGATAATGGTATATTAGAGTTTCATGAAAATTTTATTAAATATAGGATGATGCTTTTCTTTTAGTTACTTTCATGGATATTTTCTTTTAAAACCATAACACCTTCATCCTTGAACAGACTTTGCAACAGGTAGAAGCATTTGGCTCTTCAGAGTTTCATCTGGTGAGTAGCGCCTTTGGATATAAATTTCCTACATCAACTCTTTTTAGTGTTTGAATCTAATCTTGAAGCATGAAATTGATAAAAGCTTTATAAGTGTTAACTTTTGTTTTTTTGTTAAGGAAAGGCCATCCTCCCACACGCAGAGAGGGTGTTCTTTGTAACACCATTTGATTTCCGATCTCCTTGGTGTTAAAAAAAATCAAACATGGTGCCACATAGGATGTCCTCTCCATTTTTTTAGAATGCCTTTCTTTTGAAAAAATCATTGCTCCTGTTCATCTTAAATTGCAAATCTAGATTGGGTTGAAATTGATATTGATCACCTTCCCTTCAAAATATCAAAATAACAGTTGCCACTTTTTTATTATATTGCAGTACTATCTAAATAGTAATAATAGTTGATATATATTTTGAAACTTTCGGAATGATGCAACGCTTTCCTTTTGTCATGTTTTTGTCGAATTCCTTTCTCTCTTGTGTGTAACACCGCATAGGATTTAAGCAAATGTCCATTCCCACTCTTCATCACAAGTACTCTCATCTATGCTCTGTTTGGTTTTGAATAGAAAAAGAGAGGAAAGAAGATGGGAAGAAATGAATAGATTTCATGCATTACTAGCAGTCTAGCATATTTGGTATGAGCGAAATAGAAGAGAATGAAATGACCATTGCTTAAATCCCTGCATGGTGGCACCGCAAATGTTTATTATATGTTTACATGGTGTTAAAAACAAACTTGTAATCACTGGTTTTTGTCGTGTTTACAAAGGGTATATTGGCGGGGGCTTCATCTTTTATTTATTGAATAATGGAATGACAAAGTTCAATCTGAATTAGGGCCAGTTCTTCTTTATCCTTAGATTTAGTTGGTGATGAGTGGATTCTTGGACATGCAGGACTTGATAGCTATAGAACAAGGGATACAAAAAATCGCAGGCATAACTATGTTCGACATGCATGAGAAGAAAACTTATAATTCTTCATTAGAATTGGAAGTAAGTGACCTATAAATGGGAACCAACTGTCTTCAGTTTCTTGTTCTTGTTCTCCATTCCTTCTTTTAAATTGAAGAGAGAATTTCCTAAATAGGAGTAAAAAAGTTTTGAAATTTCAAAATAGGACGGACTATCATGTCTTTTGTTCCTTGAATATGAGTAAATTTCTGCCAAGTTTGGCATTACTTGGCTTTAACATGACATTTTTTCCCAAACATGGCAGAATTACTCCTATTTAGAGAATAAAAACATGAAAATCCTATTTTGGAATTTCGAAACGTTTTTACTCCTATTTAGGGCAATTCTATAAATTGAATAGGGTTCCTGCAACCAAATTATACAATTTATGTTCGTATTTTTTTAATGTATTGTGTGATAACTTATCCGTATGCTCAATTAAAGCCAATTGTCTCAAGTTATTGACATGTGTGACCTTATTATGTCTGATTACTGTGAATTTGTTTCCCGTGCCCACCCAACCACAAGTATACCAGACAAAGCACACAAAGATTCTCCTATCTGGGAAGATCAATTGATACAATTTTCTTCTTCTTGAATTCCTTTCCAGATATTTGTTGATCCAGAATAGTACCCAACTAGTTTTGGGTGCAGAACCATACCAAATCTCATTCTCTGCTTTTTATGGAGGAGCATCTTCCCAGTCCAAGAAGACATGGTCATATGTTGCATTCGTTGGAAAGAATTAAGCAGGAATTTTTTCATAAGCACATAGCGGTGTTAGGTCTTGAGACAACATGGTCAGATGTTGCATTCGAGTCTTAATATGCTCTTCCATCTTTCACCTACATACCTTCATTGATGACGTACTGAAATTTGGGGAAATTGGTGTCGCTTCGTCTTGTAATTTGCAAGTTGAGTCTACTTCTAGAGTTCTAGAACAATGTGGACATATTTTTGTCTACAACGAGGAATGATAAAAAGTCAACTTATATGTAATCCTTCTTCTACATGGGACATGGCATTACATGCAATATAAGAGCATATATAAAAATATAAGGGTTTGCTTGCAATTTTTAAAAATATTAAAAATTTGTCAATACATGCTACTTGCAAGACGCGAGAGAAGTTTGAACTAAAATGAAAATTACTAAATATATTTAAAATTTAATTTACTAGGTAATTGATATACTAAACTTATTAAAAATGTTGAAAGTTTGTCCCCGTTATAATAATAACATTGATTACTGCTGGTTTAAAATTTCACTGAAATTTTTCAGTTTAAAAGTATTTCTAAATAAATATTATTTTTATTGTATTAAAAAAATAATTCATTAAAACGTATACTCTTAAAGTTGGTTGATTTGTGAGGTCAATTAAAGAAACATGCATTATAGTTAACCATTGAAGTATTATTACATTGTTGGAAAATGAGTTAGACAGAAATAGCTGACGCGACAAGTGAAACTACAATTGACAGATCTATTCATTATAGATGCTCTAATAATGACGTGTATATAATGGATTGAAAAAAATAATAGATTAATGATCACTCCCTTGCATAAATCATCATAAAACTAGGCTAAGTTTGGGCATTCAAAAATCCAAAGTAGTTCAACAGATAGCTTTGTCCACAAAAAGTACAACTTTAACTCTTGCTCAATGTAAACTAGGGGTGGATTGGGTCATGTCCGGGCCGGGCTCCGGGTCCAAAATTACCAGGCCTGGTACAGACTCGAGTTTGTACCGGGTTGGGCCAAGCTACCTGGGCGGGCTTCGGGACAGGACTGGGTTGGGACGGGTCAAACAATTCCAAGCCCAAAATTTGTTTTTTGGAATTCTTGACCTCTAGGTCCGGCCCGGCCCGGCCCGGCCTGGTCGGTCCACTAAAGTCAAAGCCCGTTACCGCCTTCTTCTTCATCCAGGTCGGGCCCCGGGCTTGGTCGCGATCTCAGTCAATCGGGCCGGGTAGGGCCTGCACAATAGTGGGTTTAGGGTCGGGTCGACCCGTCCCAGTCCACTCCTAATGTAATTTACCAAATGTTTCTCGACCAATGCTTGCATATTCAAGGAAAATGCAATGTTCATGATTAATAAATGACATAATTATATATTTATGATTAAAATAAAGGGAAAAATAATTAAAATACCCTAAACTTTGAAGGGGTGTGAGGTAAGCACCCCAAACTTGCATATGTAATTTAAATATCCTAAACTTTATATAAAAAGTTACTTTAGCACCATGACCATGCATTATTTCTTTCAAAAATGTTAATTTTTTGTGTTAATTTCATAATTTAAAATATTTTAGCATTCATGAAGATACAATTCACATTCTAAACTTCAATTGCAAAATAAATAATACTACCCCCACTCTATATAATTGGTGCATTTTTAATTTTTTATTCTAAATTATGCAATTAGCAATATGAATCTACATTTTTGAAAAAAATAATATACAACCATGGTGCTAAAATAACTTTTTATATAAAGTTTAGGGTATTTAAATTACATACAAAAGTTTGGGGTATTTATCTCACACCCCTTCAAAGTTTAGGGTATTTTAATTATTTTTCCCTAAAATAAATGATGTTTTAAAAAATGTGGCATTTTAAGTGTAGTGATTATAATAGTAACTTTAGTTATAATAATTTAGTTATGATAATTTATGCTTAATTTTTACACTCAAATGACTATGACATTATGCTAAGAGTACGAAATAACTTCTAGTTATTTTTTTAGGATTGCGTTTTGTTTCAGTAATATTTTTGAATAATTCTTTTAATAAATTAAACATATAAACATCAACTAAATTATTAAGAACCAGGGCTCGTTTGCTAATATTGAAATTAACTGAATTTGTCGAATTGGCAGAATACGATACGATAATTATGGAAAATTATATTTAAAATTGATTTTTATTAGTATAGTAGAGAAAACATTATATGAGAAAATAGCTAAAATAATTCACTTTTCTATTCTAGCGAATTCAATTAGAAAATAAATTTTTCTTCACTTATCCTGATTATTATGCAATTCAGCGTACAAATTCATCAATTCAAAAGTTACATATTTTATAAAAATTGGTTGATGAGTTGAAAATATTATTAAACTAACTTTCATAAAATTGATACAACAATATAAAATCCAGATATTAATTAAACTTATACTAGGCAATCTATAATAGGCATTACAGAAGTCCATAACTTGTTGGTAAATCTAGTCTAGTATTAATCGATAGCTGATTACTTTATTGAAAATCTAAATGGCACGTTAGCCCATTTGTATCAATATTTTAGTCAAATCAATTTGTATTAATCTTTAAGGCAAATCTAGTCTAGTATTAATCTTTTAGTCAATCAATTTGTACAAGCCTTTATAATAACTATTGGGAAAATAACTTGAAATAATGGACAAGAATAATTCCAACTATTAGTGATCTGTTTGAAATAATCCAAAGTATCAATTATCTCAAAATAATCCCAACTATTAAAAGATCTTCTTAAGGAAAAATTGAAAATAATAATCCCAACTATTGCCGGTCCGCTAACAATAATCCCAACTATTGATTATTTTTGTATAATCCCAACTATATGGACCCTCCGCTAATAATGGTCCATGATCGGATATTACCTGTTATAACATGTGAATTTTAAATGGAAATTAAGATTAAAAATTAAAAGTTGAGATTATTTATATGGATTGCCTGTTATATCTCTTCTCATCCACTTTAGAAATTATATGAATATATTTATAGTCGGTCACGTCGGACCATTATTGGCGGAAGGTCCATAAAGTTGGGATTATTCTGCAATAATCGATAGTTGGGATTATTATGAGCGGACCGCCAATAGTAAGGATTATTACTATCAATTTTTCCTCTTCTCAAAAGACTCCACTTGCTCATAAATATTATAGGCTATTTATGGATAATTGTAAGTAACTTGAGTATTTTGAGAAGATTTTTCAATAGTTGAGATTATTTTGAGATAATTGATACTTTGGATTATTTCAAGCAGATCACTAATAGTTGGGATTATTTTTGTCCATTTTTTCAAGTAACTTTAAATAATACCAACTGTCATCCATAAACCAATAATAATACATATTTTGAAAACGATTTTTAATAATACCAACTATTTGAATGTAAAACAAAAATAATACGGAGTCACTTTCTCACAAGAAATCCGGTCATTTAAGATATCAAAAACTAATAGCAACCCATCAAATAAATGATATTTGAAAATACATTCACGTATTAGATATTTTGGTACAAGTTTTTGATGAGTTAAATGATTGAGTTTTTAGTAAAAATTTGCTCTATATCACTTTTGGTCTATATTTAAATTATTGGTATTATTAAAACTTATTTCCAAAGTACGTATTATTGTTGGTTCATGGAATTGAAGATAGTTTATACTATGTATTATTTAAAATTTTGTCTAAACAACACCACTTTGCGTGTTTTTTGTTTAAAATTTGAGTGGTCAAGTGAACCTTTAAGAACATAAGATCCGTCCTAAAAGACAAAAAGTATTCAGATCCAAAATAGTATCTAATTTTAGGCAAATTCTGATGTAATTTGTGAACCTTTACATACCATAGATAGTATTTTAGCGTGAGTTACATGTCAACATTCATCAGCAGATTACACACTGCTTACACGTTATTTACATTTGTCATATTGCGAGCTACAACACAATATAATGTGAGTTACACAACACAATAAGCTCCTGCTATTCAAAGAAAAATTATTTTTATAAAAACCCCATTTTTATAGTCCAGATACTAAAACCAAAACATATACACTATTTATGTAAAATAATTGGCCAGTTAGACTCCCTTTTTTCATCATTTACATTGAAATCAATGTTTTATTTCTTTTACTATGTATTGGACAAATTACATTTTAACTGGATTTGAGTTACATTGATCAATAACATGAGTTACATTTGTTTACACGCGAGTAACATCATTCTGCTACTGGGACAAGAAAAAAAAAGTTACTATACACGCATGTACTATTCACGTGGAAATCTTTAATTCAAAAATGTGCAACACTGCATCATTTTGGGCACAAGAGTAGGGTGCTCATCGTGTGACGATCCCACCATATAAGAATTGAGTTTTGTGCGTCTAAATCTCTAATGGTCAGTTAGAATGTGATTTTAAAATTGGAAAAATTAAAAATAATAATCCCAACTATTGTCGGTTCGCCATTAATGATCCCAACTGTTGATTATTTATGAATGATCCCAACTATAGGGACCATTTCCCAAAAAACGGTCTCTAACCTGTTATAACCTGGTATAGCAGGTCATTTTTAAATTTGAACTATGTGTAAGTTTTAAATACTCCCAACTATAGTTGAGTTTTTTTATTAATCCCAACTATCAACTCTCAATTTTTTTGAAGATCATCATTATCATTACCTCAGTGCCGCAAAGGCTCCCACCTACGGTAGGGTAAGGGGGGGCTCGGATATACGCAGTCTTACCCTTGTACTAAAGCACAAAGAGACTGTTTCTGGATGACCCATAGAATTTTTTGAAGATGTAAAACTATTTTTATAAATTTCCAAACTAAATATTTTTAAGCATGAACAATTAATTACACGATTACTCTACAAATGTACCGAAATTAAATAAAAAAATTAGTCATTTTTTATTTATATTCACTAGAATTTCATTTTGACCTTTTTCCAATTTGTTTTTCATAGTTATGTTACCAATTTATGATTTAGTATTGTTTTCTTTTATTCAAATTTACATTTTCTATTTTCAAAAAGTAAATTGTGATTAAATTTTCTACAATTTAGATCTTTATTCTAGCTTAATCTAAAAATTTAAAATTTTTATTTAAATTGAGAATTGATAGTTGGAATTAATAAAAAAAAGGTCAACTATAGTTGGAATTATTTAAAGTTTACACATAGCTCACATTTAAAAATGACCTGCTATACTAGGTTGTAATAGGTTAGGGACCATTTTTGGAAAATGGTCCCTATAGTTGGGACCACCCAGGAATAATCGATAGTTGAGATTATTAATGGCGGACCTGTAATAGTTGAGGTTATTGTTTTCAATTTTTCCTTTAAAATTTTATTCTATATAGATAGATTTTTAACAATAGTGTGTTGTGGAGTGTTTTAAATTGATTTTGCTTTTTTTCTTCTTGTAAAAATAATAAGTAAAATCATAATCAATTTTTTTGAAGTTAGTCTCTCCCAGTTTGTAAGAAACTGTATCTATGAACATTTTGGAGCACACATAAGTACTTCTACACTTCCACCCATAACTCAAATATCTGCTTAATTTCCAGCAGCAGAAACAACATCAAGAACTAGATCTACACCTCCTCTATTGTCCCTTTTCATTTTGTTATGCCCCGTAGTTATTAAAAAGAGTCTTCGGCTATGTTTGGATCTTTTTTTTTTATCTTTTTAGTAACTGATAGCTTTTTTGAGCTGAAAAGCTCGTAGATGAAAAAGATCATAGCTGTTTCATGAAAGCTGTCTGTTTTAAATAGTCATGTTTGGCAAACTAACTGTCACAAGTAGCTGAAATTATAAAATTACAATTAAGGGTATGATCAAATATTTTTAATTAATGAAAAAGTAGAGGATATGCACGTAGCCAAGTTCAATTTAGAGGAAAATATGAGAGGGTGAGACCAATTTTACCACAAACCAGACTTCAAAAAAGTGATAAAATCAATAGCAAATGTAGCAAAACAGAGCCTAGTTTTAGCAATCTCAATCCGTTAACTTCATTCTATGAAATGCTTACAAATAGTTTTCTGGGAAAAATATAAAATCATGGAACACACTTTTTAAGCATCTTTGTAGAAATATTAAAAATAAGTATACAACAAGGATGAGCATAAACCAATTTTCTACAATCAATATCTTCATATTAGCCATGACAATGAAAAACAAGGGAAATCCCAATAAATCAACAAAAGCAGACCGACAATCTGTATAATCGTGTTTATACTACTGAATATGCAAAACAATTTGTTTAATCCAAACACTCACTTTTTATACTCCCAATCTTTTTTTAATACTCCGTACAGTGATTTTAGTTGTTGACTAAAACACCCAATGATGTATTTGTTTCAATCGTAGAATCCAAAAAAATATTTTACTGCCCAAAACAGAGTATATACTAGCACGAAGTTGGAATTTTACCCAAATTTATCAAGTTTGAGTCCAAATACAAATTTACTAAATAAAAAAAAAACGAATCAATGAACAAATGGTCTAAATAGAGATCAATGAAGAGAAGGTTGAAGAATTCCTTCAAATTCTTATGAAGAAGAGAGAAAATTAGAGAATCATGGTGTTGAAGAAGATGAAAGGCTTGGGAGTTGGAACGCACAGGGTTAGGCACAAGGAATGGAATTGTTTTGAAAAGCTCTTTTGGTTCAACACTTCCTTACCTAGCATCTCAAAAAAAGGCATAAACTTCTCATAAAAGTTGTTTGACCAAACACACAACTAGACTCTTTTAAGATCTTTTTAAATAATAGAGAAGTCAGAAGCTACCAACTTTTGTGTGCCAAACACAAAATGAAGTTCCGTGTTGCCCTTATTTGTATTTAGGACCTCAATTGTATGGTTTGATTTTCTCATAGGTGACAACTCCGGTACCCTTCTAAAAAATGAGGTACCATACCTACCATTCATTTGATTGTACCACATCACTTAATTATTTTTAATTTAGATTTAAATAATTCAACTGCTACATTTTCATTGGTCCATGTGGATAAATGTATGATACCTTATGAGTACCATAGAATCTACCTTTCTCATATTCCTTCTCTAGTTTCCAGCTTCAAGAGCCAAGTCGTTCGGCTCGCCAAGCCGTTCGTGAGTCGCTCCTTCAATGCTCAACTCAAATTCGATCATATTCGAATTCGAGCCGAACTCAAGCCAGATCGGTAAGTTGTTGAGCCATATTCGAACACCATTAATAGTACTAGTACAACACCCGTGCGTTGCACGGTTGGTGAAATTTGACGTGGAATTAACTAATTAAATTTGAAAAAAACTTGTAATTTTATTTACATCGTTAAGAATATACTTCATACAATAATAAAATTAACCAATGATTACTCTTCACACAACCACATAATAGCTTTGTTTGGATATTATCGTGTGGAGCAAAAATGTTATGCTTTTTACACTACAAATGGTGATAATTGCAAAACTGGGCTGAAAATGGCAGTTAACAAACAACTTGAAAGTTGACCATGACTAAAAACATGAGTTTTCAACAATAAACCAACACGCAATAAGATTGTTTTTTACTTTTATTTATAGTCATGACATGATAAGTCATGTTTGAGTATTATTACATCCAAAATACATAGTACATTGGAATGGCAAGCTAATACGTAGAGGTGTTCATGAATGCTTGAAAAATTAACACATTTTGTCTCACACTAACCCTTGTTAAATTCCTTTCTTCAAGTAAAATTTTAGCAAAGAATTTTTCCACATTCAAAGGTTTACAAATTTTAGTTACGATGAGGGAAAATTATTTATAATGTTTAAGTAATAGGGTGGCTTTACATCTATACGAATTGTATTAGTTAGACGAATTGCTTTTGTAAACTGGCAAATCAGAGGGTGTGCAAATATGTGAAAATATGTTATGTCATTCTTAAACTCTGCTTAAATATAAATTTATGCGAAAATATTCTAATAGGTCATCCACTATTGCAGAGGACAAATTTAGGTATTTATATATGCATATAATCCTTTTGAAATAATTACATAATCTTGATGACTAAAATAAAGATTATATACAAAAATATGATCTCTTAAGTATAGTGACTACGATAATAACTTTAGTCATACAACTTATGTTTAATTGTCACATCCAGGGCTGATCCTGATATAGGGGCAAGATAGGCAGCTGCCCAGGGCCCATCAGAAAGAGGGGCTTATAACTTATTTAGTAGTAATATATGTATATTGAGTCTCGTTCACCTCAAGCGCGCTTGATGGGGAGTTATGTACAGCCAAGTCTATTCGTGGTGCTCCCAAATGAAATTGTTTAATGAAAGTTTGTGAGCATCGTTTTCATTAAGTGTGGATTACGTCCATAAAATTTCAGCTTAAAATTCAATCAGGAAGATTGTTAAATAAATTATTGAAAAACAGTGCGCTTTATATATGTTTAAAAGTGCAGTGTTTTTCAACAATTTATTTAACTAACTTCCCGATTGAATTCGAAACTGAATTTTCGTATAAATATTCTAATTTTTATGAAGAACATTCTCACAAAATTTTATCAATAAATCCGACCTGAAATCTCTTCAAAAGGACTTGTCAGTACGGGACATCTTGTCGGCCGCTACTGACCAAATCATTTCCCTACACTCTAATTCTTCAGAAGAGATATCATTCAACCCTCATATCCACAGACTTAACCACAACGGCAAAGAATCTCATGAAGCACTACCAGATAACATTCTATCTTCCTCACTGAAGTCGAGAATTAAAAATTGAGTGTTATTGACAATTTTGATTCTAAGAATGCCAAAAATTGTTTCGTATGACTTATGATATCGAGTAGTTCTATGGACAAAACATTTACTTGTGTAACAAATTTTATTTTTAACAAAGAAACTTTTGTAATACATTCTTACACCATATATAATTAGGGGCCTATTTTTTGTCTTTTGTGTCGAGCCCATAAATTGTCAGGACTGACCCTGGTGTAATTATTTGTAAGTATTTTATTATTATTGGTGTATTGATCAACATTGGTCCTCCGTAATCCGTATTATTTAAAGTTAATGTCCTTAACTATAAGTCTCAATCACTACAGAGATTTTTTAAACAAATAAAAGTAACACATTTGTGAGTGTTTTGTCACTGTGTGTATATTGTAACCATATATTAAAACGGGCCAGGAATGAGTAGCCCATCAACTATGAGTAAAGCCCAGGAAACACAACCTCTTTTATTAAGGGAAATTCTATTGACAGCCCCCTTTACTAAATACAATCACATATTTTTCAGTGTTCCTGCTATGTCCTTATTATTAATACCCAACTTAATACAGCCTCCTCTAGGCAAATCACCGATTAATTTCCACTGAGGAAGAAGACAAAGAAGTGAGAAGGAAAACCCCAGAAATTCTGAAACAGAACACTAGAACAATCGGCTACTCAAAATCCCAGAACAGTCACCTAGCCTGTAGCTCAGCCTCTCTCCCCTTCGATCTGCGGCCCTTGCTTCTGGAGTTATGATTCTCGAATCCAGTCGCTTGCCTAGTTAGAGTTGCCTTCTCCCTTTGCAAGTCACCCACTCTCACTGGTATCAGTGAGTGAAGAAGGAAGAAATCGGTTGCAAGACTGGACTTAAGCAATCTGGGAACGCAGGTATTGCTAGGGAAGCAATCGGTTTCATTATTCCTTCTTTTGCTTTCTGATCGAGAAAATAAGCCGTGGAATTCCTTAGTCCTGATTGATGTCTTGGGGAAGCCGTGGCAATAACGTAAGAAGTCAAAAACGTAAAACAAAATTATTATTTTTAGATGTAGTAGAATTCGTGGATGCTTGAAGAACGAAAAAGTTGTGGTTAGACAGTGATTTGCAGAGGAGGCTGCATTAAGTTAGATATAATAAGAATTATGAAAAAATGTGGTTGTGTATTTAGTAAAAGGAGGGCCGAATCCCTTTTATTAAAATTTTGAGCCCTTCCTTTCTTCCAATCAGCCAGCCCCTCTCCAACATACGTACAACCCCAAAAACTTCTCAATCCAGAAAAAGCCTATCGGCCAGCCTCTCCAACCAAACCCACCAACATACTTCTTCCACACTTCAATCGATCAGTCATGGAGTCCTCTCTTCGTACCGATTCTCTGGCAACATTTCACTTTTTCAGCCGCCAATCATGAATCAAGCCTCGGCCGCCTCCACCTCCGCTCTAAGTTTTATAAAAACCGTAACAACGCACTCCCTCTATAAATTGAAGTAATGAACGTAGCTGTATCTTTTTTATTCAATTTCTTAGGTAACAACACACTCCCTCTAAGTTTTACTTCAATTTCTACTAAATTCATAACAAAATTTAGTTAGCACTCTAAGGAAATTAAGATTTATTGAACGTAGCTGTATATTTTTTATTACATAGATGCACTGAATGTCCTTTTTTATTATTGCGTAATGCGTATTAATAAAAATGCAGTCTATAATTTGCACCCCAAAATTACTTAATCTAACCTTACTTGGACAAAATTACCCATTAAAATATACGAGTACTTCGTATTCACCAATTTTTACGTAATACGGAGTAGTTAGTACGTAGTATTTGCTCGCCTTTTCTTTGACTATAAAGCATTCTCCGCCAAGTGTTTTACTTTAAGCCGCAAATTATATCGTGCAACTGGCGCACCATGAGTATTGTGCCTGGTTTCTTTATTTTTTATTGCTTTTGTTGTTAAAAAATGGTCATAACTTTTTTATTTTTGATCCGATATTTATGAAATTTATCAACATTTTTTATTTTTCATGATCTTTCAAATGAGACCAATACTGCTTATGTAATTTTAAGAAATTATCGAACTATTATATTAATGAGTATTGGATTATAAGGAAAAGCGAACTAAATTTAATACAGAAAAATAATTGTATAATCCACAATTTATCTTAAAATTGTGTATATAAAAATTTATTGTATTATGTATTTATACATGTGAGTTACATATTTTTATATGTGAAGTTGCATATTTTTATACGTAAAGTTACATATTTCTACACGCGAGTTACATATTTATACACACGAGTTGCATTTGACCTGTCTCAACGCGAGTTACATATTTTTTTTTACGTAAAGTTACATACTTTTACACGTAGAGACGTAGAGTTACATATTTATACACCCGAGTTGCATTTGGCCTGACTGAACGTGAGTTACATATTTTAACACGTAAAGTTACATATTTTTACACGCAAATGTTAATATGTTAAAATTACATAGGCAATATTGGTCTCATTTGAAAGATCATGAAAAATAAAAAATTTTGATATAAATTTTATAAAAATCGGATCAAAAATAAAAAAATTATTAACATTTTTAAAAAAAGGAGAAATAAAAAATAACAAAGCCAAAATATACGAACGGCTTCTTCACTCTCCCAGGTATACCATGCGCACCGTCGGACGGTTGCATGATATACGAACTGACTTTAAGCATAATTGATACTCTGTATTTAGACACTCCGTATTATTTTTTGTGTTTATTTTACTTTTTCGTTTTCTATGTTTTTTGCTATTTCAATCATTAAAAAAAATGAGCTAAATAAATTTTGCAAATGTATATTAATAACTATATAAATTATCCTTAATAGGAGTAAAAACGTTTTGAAATTCTAAAACGAACTTTCATGTTTTTATTCCCTAAATATGAGTAATTCTGTCAAGTTTGAAAAAAAATATCATGTTTAAAACTCAGTAATGCCAAACATGACAGAAATTTACTCATATTCAAGGAATAAAAACATGATAGTCATATATTGGAATTTCAAAATAATTAATATATTTTGAAAATGATAAAAATTTAAAATTAGTCTATGGGTATCACACAAATAGATTGAATCAGTTGAGTCTGCTGAAATTAGTAAAGTTTTGATTGAAACGGTTGAGTGAATCTGCTTAACTATGAAAAAACTATATTTTTCCGCTTCTTTTTAGATGCAATACTCTAATCTTCATGTTTGTCAACACGTAACTTTGTCTGTTGATACATTTTATTCATCAATTAGTAAAAATTTAAAAATGGATATTTTGAAAGTTCCTAATGAGGCGAGTTTGGGAATGTTTTTACTAAATTAAAATCTCATTTGTGTATACAATAAATTTTAAGATTTTGCGAATAAAAAAGTAGAGGTAGTATTTAAAATATAATTTATTAATTAAATAAAGAAAAATCTATATAAAAATAGCTAAAACAATAATTTCACAAATTCAGTAAACGGGATAAACGGCGGTTTTGTACTCTCTTTTATGAAGCTTTCAACCTTCTGGGATAAACGGCGGCTTTTCAATTTTATCTTAAAACAACGTGATTGTTTTTCGGGAAAAATCTGGGTGAACAAGACACGTTCCGCCCGAGTCTGAAGATGTGTCCATGAAACTTGCTGCTAGGTACACTCCAAAACACACCTCCTTTTTTTTTTTATTATACATAGAAATAGAAATGAGAGCATATTAATGTTGAAAGTAGTCGTTGTGGACTGGTATTAGAATCAGGGTATACTATACTATAATTACTATCCTTTCTTTCCTTGTGCTGCTGCTACGCTCGTCTTCATTCCCTTCTGCTGCCATTAGAAACAGGGTATATACTATAATTGCTATCGTTTTTAACCTTGTTTCTTTTTCTCTTGTTTACGGCGTTCATCAGCTTCATGTCAATAATAATACAACTATAGCACCGAATAAATGTGTCATTGTGTTCATTCCCTGTGTCTGCATTACCTACCTTCAAGATATGCTAAAGAACGAACTACTCCGTATATGGCATGTGTTTGTTCACAAACTGTTTGCCAAAATGTCCCACAAGCTTAATGATATGTTACTTGCTCTTACCACATTCAAAACCTGCCTTTCATTCTTAGGCTATTAAATGAAATAGAGTAGACTTTAGTCTTACAGAATAATGACCAATAGTAAATTGTTAAATTACAGAACAAAAAAGGTAATTTTTAGTCCTTTACGAAACTGACCATTACCATTATGAAACCATAACATCAATAGCTTTAAATATCTACTACGGTGTTTATCCCTTTCCTCTACTCATCAACTTTTAAAGATATTCCAGGTATATCAAAATTAAATGTGTTTTTCAGATTTTAACATTTGGCATTTGACTTACATATTTGGCATTTGATATACCCGGAAAATCTTTTTTATGTACTCCGCTGAGACTGGAGTATTAGTTATACATTTTTATGGGCTTCCTTCATCAAATGCTAAATGTATATCTTCATTCAAATGCTAAATGTAAATAGCTAATACCACCTTGATAAGAAACAATGACAAACATAAAAACAAATTACATCAATGTTTCATAACCGATAATTACAACAAAAGCCTTAAATTACCAGTCAGTTGGTAAAATGTATGTGATGAGGCTATTTGCTTAAAAATATCAACTTATCATCTACATGATCAATTAACATTTTTAAATTACATGTTCAAACGCCCCTTGACTTCCACAAACTTAAAGTTTTATGTAAAAAAAGAACTTCAAACTAAGTTCTTCACTATACATCTTCCGCATACGATCTCAGCGGATTAAGCCAAATATAGTACTCTGTAGTATTAATGCATTTTACACTCATATCAATTTCACAAAATGCAGTGCGCTTTAAAATCTGAAAAACAAATTTGATATACCTGGAATAAAGGTTTAGTTATACATTTGTTGGGCTTCCTTCAAATGCTAAACGTGAAATTTTATTCAATGCTAAATGTAAATAGCTAATATCACCTTGGTAAGAAACAATGACAAACACCAAAACAAACTACTTCGACGCTTGATAGCCGCTAATTACAACAACATCCTGAAATCACCATAGTCTTTACTCTTTAGTAAGTAAGTTATTCCCGAGGAGCCTATTTACTTAAAAAAATATTTCAACTTATCATCTACATGGTCATTGTTAAATTACATGTCCATACTGTTTCCACGTTTGATAGCCGATAATTACAACAACTATTTCTTACTGTACGTTTGCTAAGCTTCACTCAGCAAACTTTTAAAAAATTCAATACCCAATCGACTATAAGCCTTCTTAAATTTAGTCATCTAATTATACATCTTAAGTATGTCATTCACAACTGTATATTATCATCATAAGAAGCCAAATTTTTTTCATCACAAATGAGCAGTATGTATATTACTCCGTACTAACCTAATGAATTAGCTTCATATCTACACTTCTCGTTAATCGTTATTCCTCACCATCCGTTTTGATTGGTAATCAATGCTTAAGGTTTGAGAATGAAGACCTATTTGCTAAAAGACCCTTACAATATAGAGGCTTGAGAATAAAGACCTATGTGCTAAAAGACCCTTGCAATATAGAGGTTTGAGAATGAAGAACTATGATTCTAATGAAACATTAATATAATTTGATGGTTTAAACAATCATGAGGTTTCTTATTGATACGTATTCTGTGTGAAAGTTTTTTACACTAACATATTTTTAATTAAATTTCACATAATGTTGAGTTAGTAATGCTATACCTTATTTGGAAATTAATAATTCAATTCTTTTTCCGTTTGTTTTAAATGGTTATCATGTACAAGAAAATGTACAACCAATTTCACAGGAATTGATGAAAGCAAAAGTATTTACTTATATATCTATTTTAATTGAAGAGCCGATAAGGTACTTTACTAACGTCGCCTGAAAGTCGACCTCAACTTCACAAGAGAAAATAAAAGCACTTATACATAAAGGATATAGCAGATGTATTCAGACTTGTTACAAGCAAAGCGCAGGCGAGCGTGTACGTACCTTTTACAAAGCAACCAGGGGGTGAGATGTGAGAAAGTGCCGCCTTTTCTGTTGCTTTTTTATTCCAAGCTTAAGCGCAAAACCAATGCTTTTGTACGCTTCTCACAAAAAGCGGGTGACTGGTTAATTAAGTTAGTTTTAGTTTTATTTATTTATTTTTAGCTAGGGTTGCATCTTGTGACTCTTTTTAGTTTAATCTCATAAAAGGCTTCTCCTCTTCTCCTAACCTTCTGGATTGCAAAGCGGTCTTCTGCTAAGCTTCTCGGTTGGTTTTCCGCTCCAGGTAGATTAGTAAATGAATTCTGAACTTCATCTTGCACTATGAAAATTCATAGTAATTTCAAATATTGATATGATCACATAATTACTATTGGTTAAAGGAAATGCTCACAAATTCAATTCTGCATGAATCTGAAACATAGTACTCTCTCTGTCCCTAATTGTTCTTCCATAGTACAAATGGTACACAGATTAAGAAAGTAGGCATTGTGTGGTGGAGAGTTGTGCAGAGGAGAGAGAAATGTTTAAGAAATGCTCTGAACCCCATATTGTTTACCAAAAAAGGAAAGTGGAAGTTTTATTAGGCTGGACGAAAAAGGAAAGTTGAAAGTTCTTTCAGGGACGAAAGGAGTATTTGACATTACAAAAATATGTAAATATTCTGCAGATTCCTTTTAGATCTTGGCATGTTCCCTGTTGGAATCTTAACCATTGCAATATGATTAGAATTCCAAGGGAGTACTTTCAAGGTTTAAAGTTCATATGTGTGTAAAAATCTTTACCAGTACACCGCTAGTTCGCTCTAACAATTTTTTGTCTGATTTTTATGTTCAGAGTTCCTCAATTACTGCATCGCTCTTTGTTCTTTTGGAAAGGGGACTGTTTGAAGATCACATTAGCTTCTCTTTGAGACATATCGTCAAACTCCCGTCTCCCGGTGTTCTGTAAAGACGATTGATAACTAGTCAAGATGGATGGTTAGTTATCAAATTCCTGGTGCTCTGCATTGAAGACTGCTTATTTCCCTTTTACAAGTTCATTTTTTTTCGCAACTTTTTTAGTATTATCTTCCCAAATAATCTTCAAACTTCAGGAAATGTGCAGAGAAAATGTAATGCTACAAGGTTGGCACTTAACAAAAATAAACTTCGCTATCTTGCACTCAAATTCTTTTTTGCATAAAGGCATAAACCTTTTGGTTTTTCACACTTCTTCATTTCTTCGATGAATGTCTACTTTCAAGTAGTCCTCAGTTTGAGAAAAGGGAGAAACGATCCTTGGCTAATGGAGTTATATTTTACGGACGACATTATGCAATGAATATGTAGCCGTCTGGATTTTCATGGGTTTACACAACAATTTATTATGTTTTGCTCATATAGTTGATGCTGAGCCTACAATGGATGAAACTATTTTGATCGATGAAGATCTAATGGTGGGCCCACCATCACCAATCATTCCACCAGAGATAGCGTCTCATGTTCTTGAAGGCATTGATACTTGTGATGGGCTTTTAAGGAATCTTTTCCTATGTAAGAACTCCTCATCCGAAACTGTTTTCATCAGCATTGTTCACATAAGATTTGGCTCATTAACTCTTTTGTGATGTAGGCTTACAAGTCAATGATATTGAACCATTCTGTCAAGATGAGATTATCATGTATCAACAATGTGCAGAAAAAAGGGTGACAGCCATTTATTTTATTATTACCACTCCATATATTTGAGTTTGCTTTCAAATGATTGACACTAATTTTTTTGAAATCATAATTCTAGTTGTGTATCACTCCAAATATTTGAGTTGGTTTTTCAATTGACCGACACCAATTTCTTTGAAATCACAATTTTAGTCGTGAATCATATGACTCTACTAGTCACAGAATGATTCCGCAATACAACTTTGGTAATTGCTTTTTGAATAATTTAGTTTCTGTGTTTGTGGGTTGATTAAAAATTTCTGTAGTGCAGGACAAGGAGCTAAGACAACGACTTCAAGATAGTGAGCGTAAATTAGGGCTGTCAATGCCTCTAGAGAAAGCAAAAGAGCGAGCAATCCATCTAGAATCTGAAGCTACATCTCTAGAGAGGTACTTAAAGTTTAAAGTGGGTTGTGAACTTGTGAGTTATCAAGTTGTGTCCACTATATTGTTCTTAAGCAGATAAACTACAAATGTGGTACTTGATAAAAAAAAAGAGCAGGGGCAAGCATCGCCTGAACTCCTGCTCGTTTTTAACTGGGTGTTTGTGGGTATGTGTTGTCTGTATGGGGAAAAGGAAAATGGATGATAGTGTATATATTTGGATGATGTGAAACTGTAAATTTAGGCAAGCATTTGAAATGTTTTCCCTGACACAATGTTGGTTTTTTGAAGCAATAAAATCTAGATCATACACCTCTGTGGTATTAAGGCAGTGTTTGCGTTTGCTTGTGCTTTTCCAAAGTGATTTTTAAAAGTGATTATTGGAAAAGTGATTTTTAGGAAAAGCAGATAGTGTTTGGAAATAGAAGTGATTTTATTTAAAGTGTCAAAGCTGGAGTGTTTGATAAAAAAGTGATTTATGAGGTAATATTTGGTGAAAATACTAAAATGTCCTTGCCTTTGTTGACCTAGTATTTATTTTTCATCCCATTTATCATCACTCCCTCTGATGGGAATGGCGTGCGGGTGGGTTGGTGTCTCCGGCCATTACAGCGGTGAAGCTGGGAATGATAATCCAGACGGATTTGGTGACGAGGGTGAAGCTCAAGTCGTGGAGAGTTACAATCTGGGAGTTACCGCTTCACGTGGAGAGAAGCTTAATGGGAAGAGAGAGCTGTGAAAGGGAAGCAATCGAAGAACTGGGCATTTCTGCTGCACTTCTGGAATTTCCGGCGTTCCAAGAGATGGCACCGGCGATGCTTGGCGAGAGAGGGACGGAGAAGGCAACCGATTTTGAAGAAATGAGAGAAGTACGATCGAGGGGGTCAGGTTGGGTTTTGGGAAAAGGTTGAGGGATAAAACTGTCCTACAATTTCCACTTATTTACGCGAGTACCTAAAAGCAGATAAAAGCAGATTCCAAGGTGCTTCCAGCTTTTGCATCACAATCACTTAAACAGAAGCTGTTTTTTTAATTTGCAAACACCTTTACTAGCTTTTTTAACCTCAAAAGCCCAAAAGTGATTCCTAGAATCAAACGCAAACACAGCCTAAGAGATTTAGATAAGAAAAGAAGTTTGGTCAGCAATTAGCATGTCATATTTCTAAGAGGTCATAGCTACCAACTACCAAGAATGAAATATATACTAGGGAGAAAACTTCATGTGCATATTTGATAGTGATTTTTTCTTGATCTTAGAAATAAATAATTGCTTTCCTGATCTAGACGCTTTATATTGGCAAGTGGAGTTGAAGGCATGGAAGGATTTCGACAAAGGTGGAGTCTCCACGGTCGCATGACTGATACCAAGTAAGCTATAACCGATTGTCTCATGAACATTTAGACATATACTCCGTAGTAGAAAATTTGACAGTCCACCAATTCAGAACCATTAACCCGTATTGACATTGGAGCACTTCATACATTGGTGTCAGGACTAAGGTCATAAAAGCGGATTTATTTGATACATGATGTAAGACATATATTAGGGCATGTTGAAATTTAAGACATTTTCTTAAGGCTGGATTATGTATGTTCTACACAGGCATGCCATTTTGCTAGCGATGGGAATGGGTTTTGAAGGGGTTGTTTTAGATAAAAACCAATAATATTGGATATGCATGAATAATATGCCGCGTACATGTTTGATGAGCTGTTTTTAGGGTGTGCGGTTAGTCCGTAATTAGATGGTGTGCTTGCCTCCTCCCACAGGAAAAGGCTAGAGTCTCTAAAGCAGGGTATAGAGAGTAGGAGAAAGGATGACAAGCCAACTGGAAATACCTTCACCAGCAAGAAGTGGTTCTTCTGGTGATTTGCGATGCACATATATAAAGATATTGGGTCATGCTATGGTATCTGTGAACCGATAGATATCTGAGACCAATTTTTATAGATACACAAACAGTAAGAATCAGGTCCGACACACCATGTGATACTCATGCTTAGCCCAAAGCATGTATTTAGGCTATCTTTCCCCCCAATTTCCAATCACCGCATATTCAGGTGCAAGGCAAGATATATTACTGCTTCAAATTGTTCATCATTTATTTGACGATTTGCATTTATATTAAGCGATATGGATGTGAATGCAAACAATTGATTCTGATGTTATAAAAATAAATTTGGAGATGTTATCATGATGGCGAGCTTTCGATATTATTGTTTCATTCATGAATTTTGGTACTATATTTTGCAGCACTGCAGCCTATATTTTTCTAGTCAAGGCTAGCGTTTTACCGGTTAAATAGGTTATTAAGAGCCGGCCTTATAGTTTTTTTTTAATATAAGAGAGTGCCTATTATAATAATAACAAGAACTCATACAAGACAACTTCTAGATAGTTATGACATAATTAGCCACATCATACAAAGCGACTTGATTCGCTAGACACAAAATATGCAATTTTAAGTCTAAAATAATCAGAACTAAAACATTGCCTATAAAAAATACTATAGAAATCTAGAAACCCAAACCAAACATACTCGAACTAAAAAAATCAGTACTACTAAAGGAAAAATAAAAATTGAAATAAAACCTCACAAAACTTTTTTCGGCATGGAGTTGGTTCCAGAGGAGGACAAACTCTACAATTTCATATGCATCCCAAAAGAAGACAGGCAGAAACCCTTTATCAAGCAAAGCAGGTTGGGACACCAAAATAACTCCCAACACTGAGGGACACAAATCGCCGGGAAAGAACCACCACAGAATAGAACACAACCAGAAAAGGAAAACAGTCCAGATGAGTCATACCCTAACCTACGAAGAATCTTTGAGAGTTGATATTACATGGTCGTCTTCTCTTCTGTGGCCATCTGAACAACCACAAGTAGGCGTCTTACTGATGGCAAGAATTACGGTTGATTGCCTATGGGCACCTCATGGCTTCAACTTTAGGGGAAAAAGGATGACACCTCATCCACGAGGGCCCCTCAACACCAACCGGACGGCACAATGAGAGAATGTAAATTGGACTATAATCACAATTTGACAGATATAGAGTGGGGCTCCGTCCCCGGTTCTTGCAGAGGCCCTCTATTGAGTGATCTCTCATCGCAGTTGCCGGGAGTTGAACTGGGGACCTAACCCTTGTGGCACTCTCTCGCTACCGGTTGAGCTACGCCCACTATTGGCTTTGACTTTAGGAGTTTTCAAGAAGAGAGCTAGTGAGTACGGCGTTAGATGCTTACCGAATATGAAGCACACTTTTCAATGATCTCTTTAAAAACATTTTTTTAATGTTGAATTATTAGCCTTACAGATTTATGGAGTCGTAAAATAAAGTTCATGTTGTGAAATGAAGAAGATGCAGAATAGATTTAAGAGATAGATAGATATATTAATAAGCTCTAAATAACTTCTTCTTAATCTCTGAAATTTCTGAGTTCTCTGAATTGCTTGAATTACATTTACAAAGGATTCATCACCCTATTTATACTAGTAGACTAGGAGATGAATCATCAAAGAATGATTCTACATAATCTGTTGGCAACACTAAACCTAGCCATCTGTCTATTACAAGGATTGAATTTGGATTAGTGTCCTAATGACAAGGATGGACATTCACACATGTCATTTTGATGATTTTACAACACTCCCCCTTGAATGTTCATCCTGGAATAGGTATTTGGTATTTTAAAAACTTATTGTGAAAATCAGTGTGAAAATTAAGGGGTAAAGATTACGACATATAATGTCGTTGTATTTGGATGTACTGTCTCGTTAAAAACCTTATCAGGAAAAACCCAGTGGGATAAAAACCTGATGAAGGGAAAAAGAGTGCAGTGCATTCAAATACTCCCCCTGGAATTAACATAAATTTTGAAGGCGGCGCATGCCGATTTTCTGTACAAGTTCAACGAACTTCTTCGGGGGTAAAGATTTGGTGAAGAGATCAGCTGGATTTTCATTGGATCTGATTTGCTGAACGTTGATCGTCCCTTCTTTCTCAAGGTCGTGAGTAGAGAAAAATTTTGGAGATATATGCTTCGTTCTATCTCCTTTGATGTAGCCTTCTTTAATTTGAGCTATGCACGCAGTGTTGTCTTCGTAGATCACAGTAGGGTAAACAGTAATAGGCTTCATACCGCATTCATTCTGGATGTGTTGAATCATAGATCGCAGCCATACGCATTCCCTCCCGGTTTCATAAAGTGCAATTAACTCCGAATGATTTGATGATGTAGCTGTCAACGTCTGTTTCATAGATCTCCACGAGATTGCGGTATTACCATAAGTAAATACGTACCCGGTTTGTGATTTTGCCTTTTGAGGATCTGATAAATATCCAGCGTCTGCATATCCGATTAAAGAAGCTTTGGCATCTTTGTGGTAGAATAGGCCGAGATCAATTGTACCACGGAGATAACGGAATATGTGTTTGATCCCGTTCCAATGACGTCTTGTTGGACATGAGCTGTACCTAGCTAATAAATTTACAGAAAATGCAATATCTGGTCTAGTATTATTAGCTAAATACATTAAAGCTCCAATAGCACTCAAATATGGCACTTCGGGACCAAGTATTTCTTCGTCGTCTTCTCGGGGACGGAATGGATCATCGTGTATGTTGAGAGATCGAATGACCATTGGTGAAGTCAAAGGATGAGCTTTGTCCATATAGAATCTCTTCAACACTTTCTCAGTGTAATTGGATTGGTGAATGAAAATTCCATTCTTCAAATGCTCAATTTGAAGTCCGAGACAAAATTTGGTTCTCCCGAGATCTTTCATTTCAAATTCTTTCATAAGATATTTTGCAGTATTTTCAATTTCGTCGGGAGTTCCAATAATGTTTAAGTCATCAACATATACTGCAATTACGGCGAATCCAGAATTTGATCGCCGAATGAAAACACATGGACTAATTGGATCATTCTTATATCCTTCTTTGAGAAGGTATTCACTGAGACGATTATACCACATTCGTCCAGATTGTTTTAGTCCATACAATGACTTTTGTAATTTAATGGAAAACATGTCTCGAGGTTTCGAGCTATAAGCTTCAGGCATTTTAAATCCACCGGGAACTTTCATGTAAATGTCTGTATCAAGTGAACCATATAGATAGGCGGTCACTACATCCATTAGGCGCATTTGCAGCCTTTCAAAAACAGACATGCCAATGAGAAACCTTAATGTAGTTGCATCAACTACTGGAGAATAGGTTTCTTCATAATCAATTCCCGGCATTTGAGAAAAACCTTGGGCAACAAGTCGGGCTTTATATCTAACAATTTCATTTCTCTCATTGCGTTTACGCACAAATACCCATTTAAAACCCACAGGTTTTACGCCTTTTGGCGCAGGGACTATCGGTCCAAAAACATCACGTTTTTCAAGTGATTTTAATTCAGCCTGAATAGCTTCATTCCATTTTGGCCAATCGTGTCGTTTCCGACATTCTTCAATTGATGTTGGCTCATTGTCATTGTTTTCATTCATTACATTTGTGGCAACGGCATAGACAAATATCTCATTAATATCAATATCTTTTCGATTCCATTGCATTCCAGTAGAAACGTAGTTTATTGAAATTTCATAATTATCAACGTTTCTATCATTATCTGGAACATCTTCCTCATTTAAGAAAGTTGGATCATTATTTGAGATGTTTGTTTTGTCAATATCATTTTCTATGCCAGTATTTTCAAATTGTTCATTTTCTTGTTCAGAAGGATGAACATCTTTGGCATCACAGATCAATTCCTGCCTTTTAGTTTTTCTTGGTTTTATATCTTTTGATCCAAGTGGCCTGCCACGCTTTTTACGTATAGAAGAATCAATTGCAAGAGATTTTTCAGAATTCTCTGCTGGAATTTCGATTCTGGCAGGAGCATTTATAGCAGGAATATGTGACTTTGTCACTTTCTTTGTGTCTGTGAATGCATCAGGCAACTGATTTGCAACATTTTGTAAATGGATCATCTTTTGCACCTCTTGCTCACATATATTTGATCTAGAGTCAAGGTGCGATAATCCTGTTGCATTCCATGTTATTTCTTTCGTACTTGGGTCCGATTTATTAGTTTCTCCCCCTAAGGTTGGGAATACTGTCTCATTGAAATGACAGTCAGCGAACCGTGCGGTGAATAAGTCACCAGTCATCGGTTCAACATATTTTAGTATTGAGGGAGATTCAAATCCAACATAAATTCCCAACCTTCTTTGAGGACCCATTTTTGTACGATGAGGTGGAGCAATCGGAACATAAACAGCACAACCAAATATTTTTATGTGTGCTAAGTTTGGCTCTTGTCCAGTAACTAATTGCATTGGGGAATATTCATGATATGCAGTCGGTCTAAGCCGAATTAAATTTGCTGCATGCAAAATAGCATGTCCCCAAGCTGATGAAGGTAAATTACACTTCATTAATAATGGTCTAGCGATTAATTGTAATCGTTTAATCAAAGATTCAGCAAGACCATTTTGTGTATGGACATGAGCAACAGGGTGCTCCACATCAATCCCAATCGACATACAATAGTCGTTAAATGTTTGGGATGTAAATTCTCCTGCATTATCAAGTCGGATTCTCTTTATAGAATGATCCGGAAAATGAGCTCTTAACCGTATAATTTGAGCGAGGAGTTTAGCAAATGCTAAATTTCTAGTCGACAAAAGACTAACATGTGACCAACGTGTTGAAGCATCAATCAACACCATAAAATATCGAAATGGTCCACATGGCGGGGCTATCGGCCCACAAATATCTCCTTGAATCCTTTCTAAAAATGCAGGTGATTCAGTTGCAATTTTGGTCATAGAAGGCCTGATGATCATTTTGCCAAGAGAACAGGCCTTACAAGGAAAATCACTTGATAATGGAACCCTGATATTCTTTAATGGGTGTCCAAGTGAAGTCTTAATGATTTTATGCATCATTACTTGGCCTGGGTGACCTAAACGGTCATGCCACAACATGAATGTTTTCTGATCATCTAACTTTGTGTTAGAAACCAAATTTATTTCAAATGGACTAATATAAGTGAAATATAGTCCTGAGGAATATGCTGGCAATTTTTCACAAATATATTTAGTGCCAGATTTAGTTGTCGTAAGACAAAGATATTCCTTTTGGTTTTCATTCATGGTTTCTATGTGATAACCATTTTGACGCATGTCTTTAAAACTTAATAAATTTCTCCGCGATTTGCTGGAGTATAAAGCGTCATTTATAATTATTTTTGTCCCGTTAGGGAGCATCACATATGCTTTCCCAGAGCCTTCAATGAGCTTTGCAACACCTGATATTGTATTGACTTTAGCCTCAACTAAAGTCATTTGAGAAAAATATATTTTATTTCTCAAAATGGTGTGCGTTGTGGCGCTGTCTATCAGACATAGCTCTTTATCACTTGGGTGATCCATATCTTCAATATATGTAAATAAACATAAGCTTGACCACAAATTATGCATATTATTTAACATAAGAGTACACATTTATTTAAAAACAAGATAAAAAGGGGAAGAGAGGAAAAGTACATAAAGCTAATATGTTACAACATAAGAAGTCGAATATTTTATTTTGTGACATTTTGGTTTATGGCAAACGCATCGTCCATAATGGCATCATCCACAAAGAAGTCAGACACATCAAATTTTGGCAGAGGTGGAGTTGTGTCATTAACATAATTAGCTTCCACATTTTTGCCTTTGTTGAGATTCATGGAAGCTTGAAATAACTCCACCAGATGTTTAGCCGTGCGACATTTATTAGCCCAGTGTCCCGTCATGCCACATTTATAACAAGTCGATTTTCCCGAGGATTTTGGAGGGCGATTAATTTGATGGGTCTTTTGTTTGCCCTTGCCCTTGAAATTTGGTCTTTCGACCTGTTTGTATTCTCGGTGTGACTTGTTTTTATGACCATTAAAATGCCCACGTTTAAAATGCCTTCTACTGCCACTGTGTGTTGCGTTTGATTCAGTGGCTATATTATGTCCAGATGGACCATAAATCGAAGGACTAGAACCAGTGGGTCTTAAATTGTGGTTCTTCATTAAAAGGTCATTATTTTGCTCAGCGACCAGTAAAACTGATATAAGGTCAGAGTATTTTTTAAATCCCTTTTCTCTATATTGCTGTTGTAGCAGCATATTAGAAATATGCATTGTAGAAAAGGTTTTCTCCAACATATCAGCATCAGTGACTTTTTGTCCACATAACTTTAATTTTGATGTTATTTGGAACATAGCAGAATTATAGTCACTGATAGATTTAAAATCCTGGAATCTTAAATTGATCCAGTCATACTGAGCTTTTGGCAAAAGTACCTTTTGTTGGTGGCCATACCTCTCTTGTAAATTGTCTCATAATTCTTTTGGATCATCAACCAAAAGATATTCAGATTTGAGACTTTCATGGAGGTGGTGACGGAGGAAAATGATAGCTTTCGCTTTATCTTGGGAAGATGATATATTATTGGCTTCAATTGTTTCTTCTAAGCCATTTGCCTTGAGATGTGCCAGGGCATCTACTTTCCATTCCAGATATTTTTGGCCAGATAGATCAAGAACATCAAATTCTCTTTTGCTTATATTTGCCATGATGTACTGCAGGAGATGATGATTTCTTGAAGAGTTTGAGCAGATTCGTGCTGATAACGTGTTGTGAAATGAAGAAGATGCAGAATAGATTTAAGAGATAGATAGATATATTAATAAGCTCTAAATAACTTCTTCTTAATCTCTGAAATTTCTGAGTTCTCTGAATTGCTTGAATTACATTTACAAAGGATTCATCACCCTATTTATACTAGTAGACTAGGAGATGAATCATCAAAGAATGATTCTACATAATCTGTTGGCAACACTAAACCTAGCCATCTGTCTATTACAAGGATTGAATTTGGATTAGTGTCCTAATGACAAGGATGGACATTCACACATGTCATTTTGATGATTTTACAACAGTTCAGTCTTTAAATGAATAAATAAAACGGAAATGAAACCAAATTGAAGTGTCAACTTTTTTATTTTGTACTTAGGATGTTTTTACTTGGACATATTTAAGTTCCAAAGCAGAACAGACCAAACTTAAACAAATCAAATCAAACTTAACTATACCAAAATAAATTTCAACAGTTATAAAAATAAAAAACAAAATAAAAACAAAAACAAATACCAAACATCTACCAAACCGGACCAATTCAGACAAGATAAGAATTAAATAAATCAGAAAATTATTAGTCAAGAAAAGCACACGTGAAGGTAACAATATGATTAGAACATTAATCAATCGTGCAATGTAATAAGCATTATGTGACTCAAATACAATGTTTGGTATGACATTTTATTTTAAACCGTAATGTAATGTGCATTACGTATGTGGAACTCATTTCTTTGATATTAGTGGTGGACTCGGGCCGGGTGGCCCGACCCGGAACCGGCCCGGAACCGCACTGTTTGGCACCGGCCCGACCCAGTGGCCCGTGGCCCGGACAGGGACCGGTCCGGGTAGGCTCGGACCGGGTGTTTTCCGGTGCGGGCTCGGGTCACCCAATAGACGAACCGGTCCGGCTGGGCCGGGCCCGGTTCCGGGCTTTTTTCATTTTTTTTTCATTTTTTTTAAATTCTCGGGTTGGGCTGGGTATTTAGGGCCATTTGGGGTGGTTTGGGGGTCGGGGGTGAGGGGACTGGGGGGTCGGGGGTTAAATAGAAAAACGAAAAAAAATTAGAATCTGGCCCGAGGCCCGACCTGGCCCGGACCCGGGGTATACCCGGGCCGGTTCCGGGCCTACCTCAAACTCCTAAAACCCGACCGTGCCTAGGCCCGGTCCGGGCCCGGCTCCATGCCTATTTGATATGTGTAATAAGCTTTACATTAGAAACGTTATGTATTTAAGATTACACTTGTATTTATTTTCGTGCGGCCAACTACTCACTCTCCCATAGTCCCATCAGATGAACTTTTCCCGTTCAAATCTACTTTTTTTCTTTTTTCTCGGGTGTTCTGCCACTTTTAACCAAACATAGTAATGGAATATTGATTTCATTCCATTACATTACAATACCGTACTCATTTTACCTCAACTCAGCTAGTAATGTACTACGTTGTCAATTTCTCTCGTTGTAATTCATTATTTTCGTTATAGACACTACTTTAGAGGGCTTTACCAATTTATTATTTCCTCTCGTTATAAAAATAAAACTTTTCTCATTATGATTATGAAAAATAAAAAAAAATCTTTTAGTATAGCCATAGTTTAATTTTTTTATTCTTTTATTATATCCATAATACCGTTAAAATAATATATTGTGGTTCCACAATATTGAAAAACTGAACCGCAAAATCTATAAAATGCTGGCAGTTCTGGTTCCTATAATTGCAGGCATGTCTACATCTCGCACAAGTTATGGTGGGAGAAGATTAACGCATATTCCATTTCCCACCACCTCAAACAACATTACAAGTTCATAACAATGGATAAATCACAGAGCAGTATGACCAATGCAAGAGAACCCAACCTCAGACAACACTAAATCTTGTTGTTTGTTAGTTGTTACATGTGGTTTGTAATAAGAATCTACAACAGAAAAAGGAGAGAAAAAACATATCTGGCCAACAAATGGGTCATCACAGAAAGTTTGCATCATTGTGCTCGGAGCATAGTTGTCAATGGCGTGAAATGGCGCGCGCGCCATGCGCCATGAGGCGCACTTATCACCCCTGCGCTACGTAAAAGGCCTGTGGCGAGGCATATACACATGGCGTCGCCATTCCTGCGCCTTCGCCATTCCTGCGCCTTTGCCATGGCGTTGGGCGAACAAATCCTTACCTTATTCGCAAGTAGAACCGCATTGGCAGGCCCAGAACAAGATAAAATAAATTGAGGCCTTAATTTTTTAGCAAGCTAATTTAATTAAGGCTTTAGGCTTAATATTAAAAGTCGTATACCCAAGCCCAGACTAATACCCAAGCCAAAGTCATATACCCGAGTCACACGCAGGAATCAAACGAATACGAATAAGACGAAGGGAACTCACAGAGTCGCCCTTCCTCTGTCCCTCGCGGAAGCAGAGCCGCAGAACTTCCCATTCCCAGGTCCTCGATCTTTTTAAGTTGTGTATTTATAGTTTTGTTGTTTTAACTGTGATACTTCTATTTTAAAATAACCTTCTATGATATACTTCACCTTTTGTTTTGATTAGTTTTTTAATTTTAATTCTCATTAATAAACCTTGTTTTCAATTATAAATGTAAGTTTCTTTTGCATTTTTTTTAATTGTGAGTTTTAATTCTAATTTATATACAATATATAATTATAAATATAAATATAGTTATATATAAATATATAGTTATATATATATAAATAAAATGAATAAAGATGCTAGCAAACCAAGGTGATGAGAACTGAGGAGTGTGACAATTGATGATGATTATGGAATAATTATCAAACAAAAAAAAGCTAATATATTTTGAAAGACATGGAGCTTTTTTTTTTTAATATTATGTTTTTGGAACTACTTTAAACTATTTGAATGTCACATGTTTTGGTTAGAATGTTGTTATTCAACTTGTTTATCATATTTTGGTGGCTGGGGATACAATTGTAGTGTTTATAATTCACTTTTTTAGCTTTTTTTATTTTTGTCACGTGGCGACGCCATATTTGCGCCATCGCCATCGCCATGGAAAAATGCCTGTGCGCCATGTATGTCGCCATGCGCCATGACAACTATGGCTCGGAGTCATAGATATCTAAGATGAGTAACGCTCTGGACTATGGACAGAAAAAGGTTCACGGAAAGGGAATGAGTGAGGGTAGCTCCAACAACATCATTTAAAGGATGTTTTTGTCAAATCCATTGGCCCCAAGTCCCTAACTAATGTGCAGCAAGTAATTCTTGCAAAAACAGAATTGGTAAGCACTAATAAAAGTACCCTATGCAGATGTTCCGGGAATGTCTTCGGAAGTTGAGCGAGGTTCCAGAGGCTGCCTTGCTACAACAGCAGGTTGAAGTGGCTTCTCTGCAGATGGGGTCCATGCTGGTCTGTTGGGGCGGATATTTTCAACTTCCTTTTGAGGGATATCAAACTGCAACCACCATAAATAAGACATGTAAATCAACCAGACACACAAACCGCATTATCTGGTGAAATAAGGACTAGAAATAAGGTTCTGATAAGGACTACAAAAAACATGCAACTTGCAAAGAGAGTTCCTAAACCTAGGAACATATAACATGAGAAAATGTTCAAAAATTGACTTTAATAGCTTGCAATGTCAAATACGGAGTATATTTTTTAGTCAATAGACAACTGGGTTTCCAAAAAAACGAAATTATGACAACTGGGAAAAATGGGTTTCACTTTTTTGTTGGCATTTTCCAAAATAACATAATTAGTATAACTACTATCCACTTAATCATACAAGTATACAACCAAGGTCATATAATTTTAAAACGTAAAGTAAAAACTAAAAGTGACTGATACCAAATGAGCCCTAAAGTAATTGAAGCATTGTGTCTAACAGTCTAACCAAAGTAGTGGTTATTGCAACGTGAGCCAAAGTATAACATTCAAGCATAGATAGTAGATAAATGAATATGATTTTTTTTTTTCTACGGATAAATGAATATAATTGGTAGATCCAGAGGCATGTGCATATAAGAGCACAGGAGCAAGACCGGAGTGTTACCAGCCATGCTAAACAGATTACAAGCAGAGCAAGAAAACAGACCAAGTCTGTCTCAAATACCAACAGGAAGAATGAATAATTACAAAACATAGTACCACATTTACATAGGTCGAAGCTAAATTACCTTGTATCCACAGCCAGCGACACAAGCGCGAAAGCATTCCTGTTTGAAAAAAGGAGGTATATGTTATTATCTATATAAGCAAAACTTTACTAGAGTCATGAATGATTTACCCATTTACCTCTTTAATAAAGCAGGTTGGGAACTCAATTTCAATGGGATTGCTACTCCAATGCCATTCACAAAACAAGCCCCATGAATATAATCCAATGTTTTTTTGGTATTCTATCAGCTTATAATCTCATGTGATCTTAAATAATGGTAAGCCTAAGAATTAAGTAAATACAAGTGTTTCATACGGAGTACTAAATTTAGTTACATTTTCAGAATTTCAGAAGGCATAGGTCATCATTGTTAAGCTTCGCTAACATCGGTTGTGGGTGCATTGCAGCTGTACAAGTAAGCGACCCCCTTAGGGATCATTTGGATGGAAGGTTTCTGAGATGAAAGGCCTTGAAGGCTTAGTTTATATCCTTCACAAATAGAATGTTTCTGAAAACAAATAAAGGGTGATCGGAAGGTACATGACCACCTATTTCCATTTTTTTTAAAACTGATTTATATATGTATATGTGTGTGTGTGTGTCTATATATATATATATATATATATATATATAACCAAGCATTCCAGCCCAGCTGGTTGTGAAGTTACCATGCCTAGTGAGAGGTCTCGAGTTCGAAACCCAGTAGGCACATAAGGGTTCGAAACTCAATGGAGTGAGTTTCAGCCCTGATTACTCCACACCCCCCAGACCCCCCTGGAGTAATATATCAGTATATAGACTTGGCTCCCTCATACCTTCTATCCAATCCCTCCATCCAAACTGACCCATAGAGCCTATTTAAATGGAGGGTTCGGAAGAGAAGGTATTGGAAGGCTCAAGGCCTTAGTCTATATCTTGATAAATTGCATGTTTCTAAAAACTAAAAAAGGGTGATTTCAATGATATACAATAATTACATGTAAATCTTTCAAATTTTCTAAAATTCAAATTTATAAAATATAGACTAAGCCCTCCAAAACCTTCCTCTACAAACCTCTGCAACCTCAACAGATTATTAGAGCCACTTTGGGAGGAGGGTTTTGGAATGTAGTCATCCATAGCAAAACCATAATGAGGTACCCATATCTTAATGGGTATTTTATTTTACTTTTAGTTAAACCACGTGAGTTCAATTGTAACATTAATTGTCAAAAGATAACAATTTTATAGGAAGTAAGAAAAGAAAAAGTGCCTCTGAATAGCCAACAGCCCCAGGAGAACGATCAATGTAAGAACTCCACTTTTGATCCTTCAAAACTGGATCTTTGTAACATAATTCATCACATTCACCTAAGCCTGCAATTAATGGAAAATAACCCTTATACTCAAACTAATCTAAAATATAATAAAGTGATCTTCGTATATCAGTCAAAAATGCAGCAAACAAGTGTTAGGTCATTGATGTAAGTAGTACTATCTCCGAAGAAATGTCATGTTTAACGCTAACCAACATATTTGGGTAACGTAGTAAGGTACTGTGGACATCTAAAGTTCTTAAAATTTGTTTCACAGGTACAACTCCTATTTTTTAGTCGTTGGAAAGCAAGCTACAACTGCTATAGTTTATCCTACTTATATTTTTAAAATATATTTGCTAGTTTAGAAAAACTAATTATATGTAACATAACATGTAAGTGACACTTTTTCGCAACTAACCCAAACAATAGTTTTCTGTGATCATACAGGACTTCTGGGACAAAAGAAAGTGTTAAACATGAATCGTTTTTGTGATGGAGGGAGTTGTTTATAGTTAGGAAGAAAACTAACATCCCAAACAAGCTAAAGAGTTTTCTGTTAGAACAGCTCCATGGATAACTATGTATGTTTTCACTTGTACTGATTCAGTCTCGGAGCATATCGACCTTGACCAAACTTAGATAAACTACACCAGACTAGATTAGACAGACAAACGAGACATGACTTGGATCATAATAAAATACACATAACACTAGACTAGATTAGACCAGTTCAACTCAGACCTGAAAAATTCAAGTCTAAGTGAAAACATCCAAAACTTGGCATAGTTTGTTGCTTATGATAATGGTAAAAGCTCATAAAAGTCAAAGGAATTAAACATTGAATACTATAAAATTGTTAGGTTCATCAGCATGCCACTTGAAGAAGTCTTCCCATGTTTTCAAGAGACGTGAATCTCATCAATATATATTGTTTTATCCTTTATACAATAGAAGGTCATACAAATGAGAAACAAATCTTACATTCCTCCCAACTGTCCCCATCGGAGTCGCACCCTTTCTTGCAGAATACTCTCCCTACAAAGATTATTATTACAATACATAATAAAGCAATTGTGTGCATCAAAAACTAAATTGACTTGTTGCGAGAATCAAGAGACGACAAAGATTTGACATTAGAAAACCATTGACTTGATTTATGTGTCTAATGAACAAAAAGATAATAATCATCAGTAAACCCTTAAATATACATAATAAACTTCATTTATGATTATGCATCCCTTTTCGGTAATAATACTTCAGTAAATGCCAAACCACAATATAAAAGCTTTGTTTACATCAGTAATAATACTTCAGTAAGTGCATCCCGAGTCCCATTGGAAGCCATGGATGAGAATTAATTAACTAAGCAATCAAATATACAACTACAGGAACCATTTCCCGAAACCTAAAGCCAAAATAAGAACTCGAGCTATGAGAAATACTTCAGTGACTATCACTTCTCTCGAAAAGAATTAATTCCCCTTTTGGTCTCACAACTATTAGGATACGTACCTAGTTTTAATCCCCGACCGTCATGTTCCTACTTTTTACTCCCATGACTAGATTCTTTTGTCACTAGTAATCCTTGCGATCAGTTGTCTGGTCAATTGCTATACAATTTCCATTTGATTTTAAAAAGAAGTGGCCTCAAGGACCTTAAGTTGTGAGACTAAAAGTGGAAAAATGAATGTCAAGGACCAAAGAGTAGGAATGACTTAATAGAGGTACGACTGAAGTGAAATTAATTCTCTCACCCGCAAAACTTTAACCAAGCCATTGTGATATGTTACCATTATGGATTTATAAACTTTAATACGTATTCCAAACTCTAACTACCGAAAATTTAACAACACTCAATTCAACCAGGCTCTAAACAAACTAAATCACAGTTTTAGCTCTGCGAATAAGCTTGTACTGGTTTCTGCACATAAAACTCTGCAAAACACCAATTCTAGAAGGGAGAAAAATGAACAACACATCCTGACCAGTTGCCCCCTTAAGTGTTTTAAAAACTTGAAACATTCAAGGTCACTGCTGAAGACGATAGAAATTTGCAAAACTAAGAACAGATTCAGCAAATGTGTATGCACATAACATCACAAAAATGAACACAGCGACGAGACGCAAAAGAAACACACATAATATTCTGGCATTCTGCATAACATGGAAAAATGTAAAAGTCAGGGCAAGAGTAGGGAGATTACAAGGAATTTGCATGAGACTAGCGTATTTCTGTGTGCATTGATTGTTACACGGCGGTGTCCATTGCAGCGGAATCATTTCTCTTTTCCTTCTAAAAAAACAGATGAAACCTCCCCTCTTCCCGTTTCACCTATTCGGTTCCCTTTATTACCAGCGAATTTTTATTACTAGAAAATGGAAGTTTGGGTCATGAGAGGAGAATATAAGACGAAGAAACCGGGAACAAGTGGGATATGTCTGATCGTGTGAATCGGGTACTACATGACGAAGTTCTAGCTCAGTCCCTAAATAAACTTCCCCCAACTTTCTTTTTTCGTCCGTCCCAATTAAAACTTCTACTTTCCACTTTCTTTTTTCGTCCGTCCCAATTAAAACTTCCACTTTCCTTTTTTGGCCAGAATTTGTGGTTCACAGTAATTCTTACACATTTCTCTCTCCTCTGCATAACTCCCCACCACACAATACCCACTATCTTAAACTCTATGCTAAACCTATTTGGAAGATATAATAAGGACAGAGGAGTACTATGGTATTCCGTATTTTGTTTAATACTCCGTATGCCTTGGGAAAATGCATCTTAGGAAAATTATATAAATAAACTTAATCATATAAAGTTTCCAAATTTAGGATTCCAACTTCCAAGTAGGTGTACGATGTAAGTGTATCTGTTTTGATTACTACGTATTATACTTTAGTTCGGTTCAAAGGGTTCGGGGTTTTCACCTAAAACCAAATGCCGAACTAAAGTAAAAAAGTTCAGTTCGGTTCGGTTCGATTTTATGTTCAAAAATTTGGAATCGCGGTTTGTTTGGTTCGGTTTATTTTTGTTCGGTTTCGGTTTTTTCGATTTTTACCAAAACATTTTTGTTGATAAGAAAATTAGTATGTGTAAAATAGTGTAATTGTTAATTGCTCGATTTTTACCAAAACTAGATCAAACTATTATTAATAGTTATAAAATACACAAACATACACAATTAAAAAAAGAGAACAAACAAATGCACTTCAAAGCAATGAATTAGAGAGTATGTGTAATTGTGTATATCAATTAAACATTTTCTAAATTAATTAAACACATGAGTTTAATTATTTGTGAATTATATACAGGTATTCACAAGTTAAAAATTTTAGTAAATACGGAGTAAAACTTATCCTACTTTCTTTTAAGACAAAGATATTTATGCTCTACAGCTTCACATTTTCCGCTATGTTGTTTAAAGTATAGTTTATATTAATACATATTTGTTAAATATAAAAAATTATGTGATAATAAACATACATAATATATATAATACTACCTCCGTCCCGGAAACAAGTTCCCGGGTTGACGTTCACACATTTTTAGGAAATAAATTTACCAAGGGTTAAGTTTTACTATTTCGACACTGTTTGGCACTGCTTTGCACTGTTTTACACTGTTGTGATGTTGATAATTTGTCAAATAAGGAAATGGGAAGTTTATTTTGGGACATCCAAATAAGGAAAGTGAGAACTTGTTTCCGGGACGGGGGGAGTATATCAACAAAATATCATTGTCATGCAACAAGTAAAACGTAAATTACGATTTAAAATATCAACGTATTAGTATCATAGCAATAGATTTAAGTGTATGTACAGTGTTTCATTTAATTAAATCATATGTTTTAAATGTCAATATCTTACAAATCATAATAAATCTAGTACAACCATTAATTTTCTAGAATTAAGAATTAATAACTAAACAAAATATTATTGATGGAGTATATGGCCCAGGAACCCCCGGCCCATAGACTCCTACTTCTCATACACAAGTCCATTGAGCCCAGAGAACAACTCAGGCCCAAATGCAACGGACCAAACCTCAAAGGAGCCCAGAATACACACTTGGGGTGCCTTCGGCCTCCTTGGCCGAAGACTCCAAAACTCACAGGATAGCCTTTTTTGGGCACACGAAACTACTGGGAGAAAACGGCGGAAAACAGAAGCCTTCGGCATCATCGAGCCTTCAGCATCATCAAGCCCTCGGCATCACAGGAGCCTCCGGCTGAACCAAGCCTCCGGTCACGCGGGGCCTTCGTCTACACGAGGAGCCTTCGGCCAAACATGCTCAATCATCGAAGATTCCTTTTGGAGACAGTCAACCACCGCATTTAATGCAACATCACATCCACCAACCGCATTCAATGCGGTGGACGTACCACTGCCGGTGCCACCCGATTGATGTGACCCCTCGACCGTTGGATTACTGACACGTGTACTCTCATCGCATTTATTGCTGCTATAAATAGCAGCCCTTACTCTCCTTGTAAACCACGCTGAGTTCATTTAATAAATCGACTCTCTCTCCTCCTACTCGCTCTGACTTCTCTCTAGTTATTCCCGCAATAACCCCTCGGATAAGATACCCCCCGGGTAGACAGTCCATCATTTGGTGCTTTCATTGAGAGATCTGAACAATCAAGTAAGAAACCCTCCCCCTCTACCAAACTCAAAACACCTACCAAAAATGGGAATAACTCGTGCCCAATCCAAAACACTCGAGGAGAACCACGTAGCCCCCGGCGAAACCAACGGGGCTGAGGCCTCCAACAGGCTCTTAGTACCCGAGGGTGGTATCATCCTCGAATTAGAGCAGGCCACCGCTGACCTGCGTCAGCAGCTGCAGAAAAACGCCCCTGATGCCCGCATTGGCCTTGATAATCGAAGGAGGGATCGGAGTGAGAACCAAGTTCCCCCTCCGGCCCCAGCCCTCGATCTTCAGCCTGCCTTTGCGGCCTTTGTTCAAAACATGGCTCTCAATTCCGGAGCCCTCATCTCTCAAACACCCCTTCAGCCCTATGCTTGAGGAAATGTTATCCAACTGCCGCCACTCCCTCCTTTGTTCAACAATCCTCCCCCGGGGATTGGCAACGCCGAGGGGGTCATGGCGCAGAATACCGTCTCCCAAGAGGCCCAATCCAGGGATAAGCGCCCCATGATGAAGGAGAAACCCCGGACCTCTGCACTTGAGAGGCTGGGGGGAGCTCCCGGGCGCCGAAGGGTCCAATACCGCCTCGGCAAGCAGGAATTCAGCAGGCCTCAGGAGAGTGGAGCCTCCGCTTCAGGAGCCGGGGGCGTGCCTCCCCCCCCCCCCCCCCCCGAAGCAAAGGCAAAGCCCTCCTCCATGCCGATGACGCCAGACACCAAATCAATCAGGCTCAATCCTTCCGGGCCAACTCCCAAGGGGTTGCCCCGAAGGATCCCAAGGACGAAATCATCGAATCCCTCCTCCGTCAGCTTGAGGAGAATCGTCAGGCACCCCCGACGGCTTCCACGGCAAGACCAGATCCGGAGTACGCTGACCTCTGGGCACAGGTGGAAGAAATGAAACGTAAGCTCGCCGAAGGCTCAGGCGAGCCCCTCATTCAACTCCGCACTAGGACGCCTTTCACCCCAAGGGTGCTGGCGGCCAAAATCCCCCATAAATATCGGGGGCAGCCTATCAAACCATACGAGGGGAAGACGGATCCCCAAGAACACTACAGCAGGTATCAGAACAGTATGATGATTATGGGGGCGTCGGATGAATACTTATGCCGTTGGTTCCTTTCCACCTTGGAGGCGCCAACGTACGAATGGTTCAACCGATTGCCCGAAGGCAGCATAGATTCTTGGCAAGAACTTGCTCACCGCTTCCTCACACAGTTTGCTGGGAGGCATCGCTCAAAGAAACACTTCTCCCACCTTCTGAACGTGAGGCAGCAGAAGGAGGAAACCCTTCGGAGTTTCCTGGAACGCTGGAGGCAGGCCTCCCTCGAGGTCGAAGGCGCCGATGACAGGACACTGATGGCCCTCTTCCACACCGTCCTCCGCAACGGTAACTTCTCCCGGAGCCTTATCACTGATCCCCCCCGCGATTATACAAAAGCCCTTTAGCGGGGGGACCGATACGCCGAAGCAGAAGAAATCGAGAAGGATCGCCGCAACACGGATCCTTCTCAGAAGAATGAAGGCAGGAATCGGCCCGGAGGGCCTCCCCCTCCGGCCAACCGGGAGGCACAATACAACGATCGCTCCCGAGGTGGCCAAACCAGATCCGGGGGCGGTTACAAGAACAATCCGAAGGCATGGGCGCAACCTGTCCTCCTTGAGCACCCACGCACCCCCCTGACGCATCCCGTCAGCGTCATTTTGCATCACGCAGAAGAGCGAGGGCTCGTGGAGCGAGACTCCCGTACACCCCTCGAGATTTATGCCATCGGCCCTAATGAGCCCTATTGCCGCTTTCACCGCCACCATGGACACAAAACCGACGACTGCCATCAGCTGAAAACCGCCATTGAGAGGCTGATACAGGCGGGCCACTTGTCTCAATTTATCAGGGGCCCTCCTCCCCAGGCCCCCCCTCATCATTAAGGGCCTCCGCCGAAGGCGAATAAGTGGGTGAACCCCAACACCATCCCCTTGGGAAACCCACAGGGGAAGAAACGTGAAATTGGGGGCCTGGATGACGAGGCAGAAGGCTCCCATCAACAGTACAAACGCCACATTCACATGATTAATGGTGGCAACACTGGAGGAGACTCCACCAGCCAACGAAAGAAATGAGCCCAATCCCTCTACGTTGGGGAGGTAAACCACATGCCCCCAACTAAAAAGGCCGAGGGGGGAGCCCATCTTCTTCACAGATGCGGACTTCCCCTCGGGCTCTCTGCCTCATAGAGACGCCCTCGTCATCCGCACGGAGATCAATGACGCCGTCATCCTCCGGACTTACGTGGACACGGGGAGTTCTGTCAACGTCATGTACCTCAGCACTTTCCAGGAGTTGAGGCTCGATAGAGGAACCCTTCGGCGCATCAACACCCCCCCTCTCCGGATTCACTGGGGACAGCATAGACGCCGAGGGCGTCATCACCCTCATGGTTGAATTCGGCGACGGATCCCATAGAGCCAAGCTCGAAGTGGAATTCGTCGTCGTCAACCTCGACTGCGCGCACAACATCATCCTCGGCCGGCCTACCCTCGAGGATTTGGAGGCTGTCATCTCCATGAGGCACCTCTGCCTCAAATTCCCCACACCCACCGGCATCGGCTACTCAAGGGGGAATCAGAAGCTCTCCAAATAGGGGTTAATATATGTAATGGGACAAAAACACCCCTAAAGCATGGAAGTCATACTACTGATGACCAGAACACAGGACAACCACCCTTCGCCGGTCGTCGCCAGTCGTCGCCGGAGCACCACAAAAACTGGTCGTCGTAGATGTAGATCTGGCGGTTGTCGCCGGAGATCTGGCCAGATCTAGCCTCTGCCAGTCGTAGGCCGCTGCTCC